TTTTTGGGATCAATATCAGCAATGCAGTTCATCCAACAATAAACCTAATCCGAATTATAGAGCTACGACACAATCAAACCCAAATGAACAAAATGTTAAATTGAATCGTACCAGTCTATACTGGGGTTTATTACTCATTTTTGTACTTGCTGTTTTATTTTCAAATTATTTTTTCAATTAATTGAATTCAATTAATTGAAGAAAAGAGAATAGTATTTATATATTAGGAATTCTCTTATCCCATTCAGAAGGACATCATTTCATAATTATCTATGAGTGTTTAGGTCTCTAGTATGACTGACTACTTGATCAAATGTGGAGGAAAATGGGATAAATGGCCGATACTACTGGAAGAATTCCTCTTTGGATAATAGGTACTGTAGCTGGTATTGTTGTGATCAGTTTAATTGGTATTTTCTTTTATGGTTCATATTCCGGATTGGGATCATCCCTGTAATAATCAGATGAATTTAGTTTTCGAAATGAAAGCATAAGAACTCAACGGGGATCCACTCTTTCTTTAATGAATTCGAAGGGGTCCCGTTGAGTTCTTCATAATCAGAATATTTTTGTCAGTGAGTCAATAGATAACTTTATTGTATGTTTCAAAATATTCCATTTCCTTTTTTTAGGATCTTATGTGTAAGAATAGGAAACTATATACTATATTTAATACTATATTAAACATAAAAAAGATTATGTAGAACCAAACCTTTTTGATACTAACAGAATCTTACTACAAATATATTTCTAATATAGACTCATGATTAAATTCTTTTTTTGAAGTGAATTAAGAAAGTTGTATTTGCTGAATTCAATTCCCGGTCTTTTTTGTTTGTCCATTCCTTAACTACGTATCGATTTCGACATAAACAAGAAGGAATTGGACTCTAGGAAAAGACAAATTATCCATCCTAGAATCCTGTTTTCCCTTTCTACTTTACTTAATTTTATCTACCTACCTATTTTTTTAGGTTTAGTATCGAGTCGAATTTAATTCTATTACAATATAAATTCTAATATTTCTATTCTAGGACATGAAAATGTGAAAACAACGACACAATCAGCGACATAATCATATGGTTCGAATTAATTGTGCAGTTGAAACAAAAAACCAAGAACCAAAGGTCACACAGAATTTATCAATAAAAATGGAGTTCTTTTTACCAGCTTAATATGTTGATAAATTGACATTCCTAAAAATTCATTTCAGACAATTGCACCTTCTCAAATTGTTTCTTTTTAAGAACCAAAAAAGTTTGTGCCAAAATAATAGATGCCAAGAAGAGCAAGAGACCTTGGACACGTAACGGATCTTGAAGCACTATTTATGCATCCCCCTGACCAAATCAACCCACATTAGGATTACTCGTTAATGGTTGATCAAGTTTGATAGATTCACCCTCTAAAACAAGAAGTTCTGGTCCTGGCGGTATAATATCAATCACTCCACGTCCATCCGATGCATCTACTATCGTTATTTCGTATCCACCTTTTTCTTTTCGTATTATTTTGTTTACTACACCCGTTGCTGTAGCATTATAAACATTATTATTACTCTTGCTTCCGTCGGGATAAATCTGACCCCTTCCCCTGTTCTCGCCTACGTATATAGGATATTTTAAGAAGTAAACATCTCTCTTAGTAACGGGATCTGAAGAAAGAATAGGAAAGGTAATTTCACTATATTTTTTTCCAGGAACGGGGCCTATCACAAGAATTTTTTTTTGTGGGACGATAGCTTTGAAAAGACAAATTACCTATCTTTTCTTTAATCTCGGGCGAAAGACGATCAAGATGGGCCAATTCAAAACCCTCTGGTAAAATAAGAACAACTCCCACATTCAAAGCCCCCTTTTTACCCTTAGCAAGAACTTGTTTCACTTGCATATCATAAGGAATTCGAACAACTGATTCAAATACTGTATCGGGAAGTATCGCTTGTGGAACCTCAATATCTATGGGCTTATTATCTAAATGTCAATTAGCATATACAATCCGGCCGGTAGCTTCTCGAGGATTTTCATAACCTTGTTGGGCAAAAATAGGATATGCATTTGAAATGGGTGCTCAAGTTATTATATATATCATGAGCAATATGGAAAAGGATCGAGTAATCTCTTTCTTTATCCAAGAAAAAGCATTTATAGTTTGCATGGTCCAATCATTGATCCTGCAAATTTCTACAATAAGATTAGGTAGGTTACTGGCACAGTTCCCTATCCATGATTATGCTATTTACTCCAATTATTTTCCTATATAGTATAGGAAGAATACGAGTAAAATGAAAACGAATTTCAATTTAAAATGTTTAGCTTTTCTATACAAAAATCAAATTTTAGAATTGGATCAGTGGGTCATTTTTTCATTCCTTCATTGAATGATAAATGACTACAAGCGACGGAGATACACGATTTAAATAACGAAAAATAGAGTATTTAAAAATAGTATCTAAAATGATTGGAAAAATCGAAACAAGACAAGATAAAATCTGATCATTCAGAGTAAATCCAAAATCTTTATAGACAGACCCAATCATTAGTTCCCAACCCTGAGTCGAATGAAATCCTATACAAAAATCAGTTAATAAAAGAATAGAAAAAGCTTTTATTGTGTCACTTAAGTTATATAGAAATTCTTGAACCCAAGAGTTAAGAATAACGAGTTCTTGATTACCTCGAATAGAATAACCACTTAGAATAAGGAAACAGATTATATTTGTACAGAAATGCAAAATCGTATGGATATGATCTAGGTTGTTCGTCTCGATCAATTGGATGGTCTCTTTGTAGATTTCGATACGAAGGTTTTGTAAACGTGTTTCCGGGTATTCCTTTAGCATTTCATCCAAGAGGAACAGTTCCTCGAACTCTAGCAATTTCTTTAAAATACTTTTTTCTTGAATAGTATTCAAGACAATTTCGGATTCTTTCATATTCCACCAATTAGTAATCCAAGATTCCAGACTTTTCTGAAATGTAAAAGAGATGCACCGGGGCAAAAAGACTATAGATGAAAGACATAGAAGGGGAATGCATGCTTTCTTTTTTTTTCATTTTTCGTCTTTAATGAACTCAGTTTCATATCATTTTTCAACTATATATAATAATAATCTTTCTATCAAGCATAAGTTCTATTCCAAGTAAATACAAGTAATAGAGCTTAGCCTAGAATATATCAATTTATAATATTTTCATAGAAATTGAGAAGTTATTCTTTTTATTTGTAATTCGGAGGTTAGTTTCTTTTTCCTTCAATTTGAAAAAAGAATCCAAAAGAGTACATAAATCAAATAAGAAAACGAAATAAGCCATTGCCAATTTGAATGAAGAAGAAAAAAAGTGTTTCAAAAGCTATGAATTAAAAATGAAATTGTTTGGATACAGCGATTTCCATTGGTATACTCAAGAATATGGAACTATTTCCATTGGTACACTCACGAATCTGGACAAGTCCCAAGCTTATTGTATAACATTGCATGGAGTCCTATCATCAATAGGAGTCAAGGGAATGGTCCCCTGTTCTCTGGTTTGCATATAAAGGACACCCCTACTAGGTTCTGGGTTAGCTTGTAGTATGAGGGAATGAATATCTTCCATACGAACTTGGAGAAAAATACGACGATATGTTCCAGGAAATCCGTAACGAAAAAAAACATACCATTCGATTTTTTTTATCGAAAAAATTATAGCCACTCCCCACATTCCAAAAAATTAGAAGCCACCAATGTAAACTTAGAAAGAGACCCGTAATTCCATAGAAAGTCAGCATGACTCCTTGTGTTAAAAAAGGATTGACAAATTCAGACGAAATGAAAGAGAAAAAATCCCTCCCATAATAACTGGAAACTGAAATATATAAAACTCCTAATGAACCTAAAAGAGTGAAAGACGCCCAGAATAAATTGATAATTTTTCGGGACCCCAGTACAATGTCAAGCCATGCGTCTTGTGAACGACAACCAAGTTTTTCTGACCCCCAACTAATGAATTTTGGAACATGAACCAATAAAGCAGACATTACAATTAATTCAAGGCCCACTAAAAACACATAAGCGTTTATCATAAAATGGGTGCCTCAATTTCATATTTGTACCTGTTCTTTTTTCTTGATTGTTAGATTAATAATCATGTTGTTATATGAAAACCTCCTTATCTTATTAAGGCTTATATAATATTAGTACTTTTCTTTTCTTTTTTTATTGTAGGCAATAGTTATTCAAAAATGGAATAAAAGAACAAATCCAAACTAAAAAATTTAACCCTATTTTCAAAAATATATGAAACTTGTGGTATCTAAAAAATCTTGTTTTTTTGAACATGAAGAAATAAAGAAGCCATTGCAACTGCCGGAAATACTAGGCCTACTAAAGGAACAAAAAGGGATGGTAAGTTTATCATAAAATGGGGTATCTCAATTTCATATTTGTACCTATTCTTTTGTGTTGATTGTTAGATTAATATTTGGATTCTTCTTATATTGGAATAAAGAAAGTCTATAATCACTAGAATTCATATAGACTTATACTAAGTCTATTTTTTAAATTCTACTATGTAGAGCTAAATAAATAATATATATATATATATATATATATATATATATATATATATATATATATATATATATATATATATATATATATATATATATATATATATATATTCTATATGGAGTATAAAAGAGAATAAACCCATAAGAAAAAAATGGAATAAGATTTATTAAGAATCAAAATCGATAATTTTAATAATTTGAATATTAAATTAAATATAAGGAATGTCGAACGAAATAACTGGATTTATTTTGCTGTCTATTTCTATAAGAAATATGTCCATGATAATCAATCTTTATTTTTTATTCTTATCTTATTACTTTACTCTTGTGTGTTCTCATTTTCTTTTTATATCATTTTTATATAATAATAAGATTTCTTTATGATATTCATTTTATGATATTAATGAAAAGTTAAAAATTGAAAAACATAAATAAAATGATAGTCTGCATTAGTTTTCATTTTCAATCCAAGGAAAGCAACCATGGAATTCAAATAACTCACTTAAAAAGTCCTTTAAAGAATCACGTGATACGATTGAATCCAATAAGCCTTTTTCGAAAAAAACTTCAGCCGATTGGGAACCTTCAGGCACTTCCTTATTCAACGTTTGTTCAATTACTCTTTTACCCCCAACATCCCAAAACTAGCTATTACCCCACCAGTAGTAGGCGATGTAAGTATCGCTACATAGAGTAACTTTTGATTGATTTGATAATTATATAAAGTAGAATATATTTTAGCCATTTGCATTAAGCTCAAACTTCCTTCTTGCATAAGCGCTCCTCTGGACGCACATACTATAATAAGAGGTAAAAGTTGATTGGTAGCATATTCGATCAATCGAGTTATTTTCTCACCCACTATGGATCCCATACTACTCCCTAGAAACTGAAAATCCATAATACATATTGCTACAGGAATACCATTTAGTTGACCTGTGCCTGTTTGAACCGCCTCCAGTAATCTTGTACTTTCTTGATAAAAATCAAGACGATTTATATAAGGTTCGTCTTCCGTAGAAGATTCGTATTCGTCTTCCGTAGAAGGTTCATCTTTCGGAGAAGATTCGTATTCATCTTCCGTAGAAGGTTCGTCTTGCGGAGAAGATTCGTCTTCCGTATAAGGTTTGTCTTCTGTCGAAGGTTCGTTAGAAGGTTTGTCTTCCATAGAAGGTTCGTTAGAAGGTTTGTCTTTCGTAGAAGATTCATATTCTTCTTCCGTAGAAGATTCGTATTCGTCTTTCGTAGAAGGTTCGTCTTCCGTATAAGGTTTGTCCCATTTAATGGGAACCAGAGGAAACATGTCTTCATCCATAGGATTCCAAGTACCTGGATCAATCGAAAGTTCGATTCTATCTAAACTGCTCATTTTCAAATGATCTCCACAATGTTCGCAAATATTCATTTTGGATTAAAAAAATTTCTTATAATTTAATCCAAAGCAACTTTCGCATTGAACCCATAAATGCTTTAATTGTTGAGTATAAGAAGTATCTTTTGGATCATCAACATATTGTATTGGAGTAAATTTACTATTATTTGTATCATTAGAATATTCTATTGGAGTAAAATCACTATCATTTGTATCATTAGAATTTTCTATTGGAGTAAAATCACTATCATTTGTATCATTAGAATTTTCTATTGGAGTAAAATCACTATCATTTGTATCATTAGAATTTTTTATTTGATACAAATCACTATCATTTGTATCATTAGAATTTTCTATTTGATACAAATCACTATCATGTGTATCATTAGAATTTTCTATTTGATACAAATCACTATCATTTGTATCATCGGAAATGTAACTATTCAAGTCATTGATATTGGCATTGTAGTTGTCACTATCATTTAAAATGTAACTAGCAATACAGATTTGATAACAAAGATAACTCTCAATCCAACTATTAATGTTCTTAATCCAATTACATTGAGTATCATCTATGTAATTAGGATCATTACTCTTAGAGACATTTGTCATATAGCTATAATTTTGATAACTAGCAAAAAAACTTTCTGGTTCATTAAAAAAAGAATGATTATTGTCAATCTCCAAAATTTGATTTTCAATAGCAAAATCTATGGAATAACTATTCCTATTACTATCCCTAACTAAAAAAGTTTTATCAGATAGGAAATTTTGTATGTTGCTGACATCTACTAAATAATCACCATGGTTGTAACTATCATTTTCACTATTGTTCTTCCAACTATGAATGTCATTATCCATATCAGTTAAAATAGACGGGTCTTCATTTACACCGTTATTTTCAATAGGATCAAAACTATCTATTGATTTACTTAAACCACACCTATATTCTAAATCCCTATTAAACAACATTGAATTGAACCACTTTCTTTCCATAAATCTGTTTTCCTCTATTTCATGAAAATACAATAGATGAATAGTCATTTGATGATCATTTTTTATCGACTTAAGTATAGAAATAGAATTGCTAGGATTAATAACTTATAATAATAATGAGCGAAGAAGTATTGAAAAAATGTATCATTTATATTTGAATATCAAATCAATAACTATTTCTAATATAAAAATAAATGACTAGAATAAAAACAAAGAAGTAAAAAGGCCCATTTGGTCTACGGTATTTATGCACCAAATTAGTTTATTTCTTGACTTTTTCCTAATATGAGGTAGGTTGAGCACCGAATTTTGGAATAACAGGAATATTAGATTGGGTTATTTAGTGGATAAAAAAAGGAATTTCCGAAGATAACCTCCCTCTCTTTGGGATCGAACATGAATTTCAACAATTCGATAAACGGATCGTTCGAATTCATATAGATGAACAATATATCCCCTAGAAACGTATAATAAGTTTTTTCTTCGTATGGCTCAATTCAAAATTATGTTTATAATTATGATGTAAAATAGATCACTCAAATCGAAAAATCGAGGATCCCTATTTCTAGATACTAGAAACTAGATAGTATAAAGAAAATAGGGCATGTAAGAATCCGCAGCTAATATAGTCACGTTTTTCAAGTCCCACGCTGCTTTTTACTACATCGTTTCAAACGAGGTTTTACGATAACATTATTTTTTTAGTTTCAATCTGGTATGTAATTGATTCCATTTTGAAATCGTGCATAGTCATTGACTCAATCAATAGATAATAATATATACTTTTCACTTCTAGGTTTTAGGTTTTCTGACTATACAATTTTATTTCTAAAGTCAAGAAGTAGAAATTAAGTCAATATTCTATTTTCATGGTTTGTAAATTAAATCTAAAAAATCAATTTCTAAAAAAAAAAGGAATCTTTATTCGGATATACAATTTGTATTGAAATAGGTATATATCTTGAATAGATATGATCTGGGACGAAAGGATTCGAACCTCCGAATAACGGGACCAAAACCCGTTGCCTTACCGCTTGGCCACGCCCCATTTTGATTCGACATTAATAAATAGTATTATGAGTTGTTCGTCAATTACACTTCGAAATTTATTCTATAGAACAAATTGTTGCTAGAATTTTGATATGTATTGATATCGAATTAAACGAAATTTATTGATCCTTCCATAGAATTCAATTAAGATATTGTTTGAACTTATTCAGTTCAAATCAAAAAAAGTGGGGGTCTGATCTTAGTTGATTCATCTTTTTTTTCTCTTCATTTTATTACTGATTTAGTAATCTTCATATCTATAAATAGAAATTCAATATTTTATATTCTATCCTTTTTGATTTTCAAATTATTCATTTTCTATTCTATATATTATCTATTCTATATAAATAAAATAAAAAAAATTTGATTTTATATTTCATTGTTAATATAAAAGTATAATACAAAAATGGATAATAATAATAATAATAAATTATATAATAAATCATATCATATATAGAATAAATCATATCATATATAGAATAAGTCATTTATATAATAATATAAAAAAATACAATCAAAATTAGAATTAAAAACAAAAGAAAAAAGACAATTCCTTTTCTTAAAGAAAAACATTTTTGTTATGCTTAATATCTTTAGCTCGGTCTGTATTTGTATTCACTCTACCCTTTATTCAAGTAGTTTTTTTCTTGGGGAAATTACCAGAAGCTTACGCTCTTTTGAATCCAATTGTAGATTTTATGACAGTAATACCCTTACTCTTTTTTCTCTTAGCTTTTGTTTGGCAAGCTGCTGTAAGTTTTCGATAAAATCTTTAATTTGAATAATGTCCGGAAAAAAAGTCAGAATTTATTAGAAAACTCAAATTTTAACATTTTTAAAAATAAGATAAGTCTTACAGTGCGAATCCGTGATTATAAATCTTGAAATTGTTGGATAGACAATAAAAATATGAATCATCTCATCATTTCCTTTTTTTTCCATTCAAAAATAAAAATTATATTATTCTATTATTCGATTTGAGTCTACCACCAATACGTGGATCTTGTGGATATGAAAGAAAATTGAATTGTTGGTAATGGTAAAAAAAAGGCTCAACTCTTACTACAAATCCATTTTTTTAGTTTTTTTGAAATAACTTCATTTCTTATAAACTGAGTATCAAAGGAAACATAATATGAAATACAAGCGAATCTATTCTCTTTCTCTGTCGTTTTTTTTTATTATCTTGGAGATTTTGTAATGCTTACTCTAAAACTATTTGTTTACACAATAGTGATATTCTTTGTTTCTCTTTTCATCTTCGGATTCCTATCTAATGATCCAGGACGTAATCCTGGACGTGAAGAATAAGAAAATCTTTTTTCTTTTCCGTACTTATGCTGGATTTTTAAATATTTTTCGTTTTTCTATCTATTTTACATCTTTAACTAGTAAAAAATGAAACAAACAGGGAAATAAAAAAAAGAAATTCCAGAAGTTCAAAAGAAAAAAATTCCAAATCATCAATAAACGGAAAGAGTGGGATTTGAACCCTTGATACAAAAATCCGTACAACGGATTAGCAATCTGACGCTTCAGTCCACTCAGCCATCTCTCCCCAATTCAAAAAATTGAATTATTATGCTTATGATACCTCGGATAAACAAAAAGAACAAAAAGTAGGGCTCAAAAAAGCCTTATATATATCTTATTTGATATTGATCGTCATTTGATATATCTTATCTATCTATCTTTTTTCTATTTGATTATCATTTTATTTAATTACTATTCATAATTCTATATTAACTCATAAATATTAGTTATATTTTCTTATACCTATACTAAAGTTATATTCTATATATACGCAATATAAAAAATTTTCTATTCTTTTTTTTTTTAGTTTGTTTTTTTATCCAACCAGAGTCCAGCTAGGTACTGGCACAGCTCTTTTTTCCCATGAATCACAATGATTTATTTTTCTGTATCAGATTTGAAAGAAACTTGTAATTAAGGAAAACATTTTAATACAATCAAACAAAAATAAAAATAACTTTTTGACCGTATATCATACGAATTAATCAGTTAATGTATCTAAAAAAAGAAATAGAACTATGGATTCTTGCACAATGCATTTTTGTCTTATGAATTTCGTTTAGTAATTTTGTTGAGATCTATCTGTCAAAATACCTTCAACAAAATCCAAAAATGAGATTCGCCCCCTTTTCTAAATTTCATTAGGGGGCCCTTTACGAAACATGTGAACACTGTATTTATCATAAAATTATGCACCTATTTCATAATTAGGACTGATTCCCCTACCTGTATTGATATTGACAAAAGATCTTTTTATATACAATAATAGTATTGTAGCGGGTATAGTTTAGTGGTAAAAGTGCGATTCATTCTATCGACCCCTTAATAGTAATAGTTAAGGGGTCCCTTCCGTAATTCATATCACGATCAAAAACTTTATTTCTTACTTAAAGGTATTTAATCCTTTATACCTCTCAAGGAGCAATTCGAGGAATAATACATTATCATAATTTGTATACAATTTAGAATTGATTATAAAATTATGAAACATAAGTTTTTGCAATTGGATCCAGAATCCCAATTTTTGAATATAAGTAAAGGATCCAGGGAGAAAGATATATAAAATCCGTTTCCAATCGTAACTAAATCTTCCAATTTTTTTATTATTTGTTTTGTATAGGAGAGATTGAAGCAAAATAGCTATGAAATGATTTTTTTAGTTTACTAGAAACATCAACATATTTTTTTAACTGGTCGGAAATTTTATTATTTTCCTAAAGATTGTCTCAAATGGAAATAGAGAACGAAGTAACTAGAAAAAAAGAGATTGTTCGAATACTCCTTTTCTATAGGGATCATCTAAAAAGCAACGTTAATTGTATTCATACCGAAAGGCTGACATAGATGTTATGGATTATTTTTTTCATGTATTCCATCTATCTCTTAAATTATTCTGTAAAGGAGCTGAATGAAACAAAAATTTCATGTTCAATTTTGAATTAGAGACGTTCATTCATAAACGTCGACTATAACCCTTAGCCTTCCAAGCTAACGATGCGGGTTCGATTCCCGCTACCCGCTTATATTCTATTTTTTATTTAGTAAATTTCTTCATTTAGTTTTAGTATAGAATTATTTTTTCTTTCCCTTTTCATGAAAATTTCGTGAAAAGGAAAAGAAAAAAAGAAAAGCGTCCATTGTCTAATCGATAGGACAGAGGTCTTCTAAATCTTTGGTATAGGTTCGAATCCTATTGGACGCAAATTGATTACATATTGAATTGATTGCAATTGCATATATATTAATTGAATTCATATATTTCTAAAAATATATTGTGAATTTATTATCTTTATGATTCTTTTTTTTAAGAGACTAATGATAGAGATTTTTTAACGGTATGCAAATTTTAATCAATTTTTTTCTACTTGGTAGAAGATATGATTTCGTTGAATTTAGGTTTATTAGTTTTTAAATAAGCCTGTAACTCAAGAAGAAATTTCCTTACCTGTTCAATTTCTAATGAATCAAGATAACCGTTCGTTCCAGTATAAATAGTTATTATCTGTTCTTCCACTGTAAGAGGAGCTGATTGGGATTGTTTAAGTAACTCGTGCAATCGTTGACCTCTTGCCAATTGATTTTGCATGGCTTTATCAAGATCTGAAGAGAATTGTGCAAAAGCTTCTAATTCTACGAATTGTGCCAATTCCAATTTTAATTTACCAGCTACTTGTTTCATGGCTTTTATTTGAGCCGCCGATCTAACTCTGGAAACAGAAATACCCACATTAATTGCTAGTCTGATCCCAGCATTGAATAAATCGGTAGATAAGAATATTTTGTCGTCTGTAATAGAAATTACATTAGTAGGAATATAAGCTGAAACATCTCCTGATTGGGTCTCAACTATTGGTAAAGCAGTCATACTTCCTTCACCTAACTGAGAACTTAATTTAGCGGCTCTTTCCAAAAGACACGAATGTAAATAAAAAACATCTCCGGGATAAGCTTCGTGACCTGGTGGTCTTCGTAATAGAAGAGACATTTGGCGATAAGCATGTGCTTGTTTGGAGGGATCATCATAAATGATTAAAGTGTGGCGTTCACGGTACATAAAATATTCAGCCAGAGTTGCTCCTGTTTAAGGCGCGAGGTATTGTAATGTAGTTGGGGAATTTGATGTTTCAGCCACTATAATAGTGTATTCCATTGCTCATCTTTCTTGTAAAGAAGTTACGACTTGAGCCACAGAAGATGCTTTTTGACCAATAGCTACATAAACACATACTACATTTTGTCCCTGTTGATTGAGAATCGTATCTGTAGCTACTGCTATTTTACCAGTTTGTCTGTCCCCAATAATCAATTCTCGCTGGCCATGCCCTATAGGGATCATATAATCAATAGCAATAAGTCCCGTTTGAAGGGGCTCATACACGGACCGTCTGGAAATAATACCAGGAGCGGGAGATTCAATTAACCGAGATTCCGAAGCTGAAATTTCTCCTCGACCGTCAATAGGTTTAGCTAGGGAATTTACAACACGACCCAAATAACCCTCACTTACCGGTATCTGAGAAATTCTTCCTGTTGCTTTTACGGAACTTCCCTCTTGTATCATCAAACCATCACCCATTAATACAACACCAACATTTTTTGATTCCAAATTTAAAGTAATGCCTACTGTACTTTCTTCAAATTCTACTAATTCACCCGCCATTACTTCATCAAGACCATAAATACGAGCAATGCCATCGCCTACTTGAAGTACGGTACCTGTATTTACAATTTTTATTTCGGTATTATATTGCTCAATACGTTCACAGATAATTTTACTAATTTCATCTGCATGAATGGTTACCATGAATATTTCTGAATTTGATTCTTTTTCGAAGAAAAACAAAAAGAAGGCCTGCCTGCCTATACTCTCAATTATAGTAGAACAACTAATCAGTTATTTTTTCTTTCATCGCCCCAAACATACCAATATTAGCACTGATTGTACGTAAATGTAACTCGTTGTTTAAGCAACTATTCAAAGTTCTCAGAGCTCCTTGTAATGCTTGTTGTAAAACCCTTTGTTGCACTTGATTAATTGCCCTTTGTTGTTCAAATTGAATGGTTTCATTTTTGTAATTTTCGAATTGTTCCAAAGTTGTATAAATTGAATTAATTAAATTCAATTTTTCTCGTTCTATCTCGGAATAACCATTCACTCGAAACCGATCTGTTTCCATTTCTACTTTCCTTAAACGGGACCGGGCTTTTTCCAGCTGTTCAATGGTTGTTTCCCGTAGTTCTTCTGAATTTTGAATAGTTCTCAAGATTCTCTGTTTTCGATTATCTAATAAATCACTTAATGAAAGTAGATTCTCTTTCCATTCATTTCAAAATGTCTATGATCTCTTCCCGAACCAAACATGAATCTTTCAATTCATTTGGCTCTCACACTCAATTCCTTATAGGAAATTTCCACATATTTATTATGGAATGAGCCTATCCTCTTTTCTCTATTTCGAAAAATCTTGAAAATGATTATCAATTCAAGACCCAAATATTTGGAGGACTCTTTTGACCAAACAAATAATTGTCAGCAAAGTTGTTTTTTTTCTTCTTGAAATCCAAAGAATTCTCATTAATTTATACGTAGGTCATCAATTCTGCATTGTAGAAAAGTAGAAACGGAGGCGTTAAACACAATACCTTTTTCCTATTTTTCATCCATCATAAAGAGAATTCAAGTAAGTTTTTCGACATGAGTGTTCTATATCGAAAAAATTCTAATTTCACTATTAACATAGTGGTAGAAAGAATACTAGACTGCGTCGAAACTTCAAACTAGTTAGCTTTAACCATGGTAATGTTCCAAAATTCTTGGTTGATAGAGAATCAAAGTAGATTTCCCAATGAATCGCGAAATGCTATGGTTCTTAACTTTTTTTTTGTTATTTTGTAAGAAGTCATTCTCCGGATCATGCACATTTTCTAGTTATAACAAAAAAAGTGCAGTTGGTTGTATCCAATCTATTCTTTGAAATAAACAACTCGCATACACTCCCTTTCCAAAAAAAATCAATACACCTAGCACTGCACTTAGATTTATTAGATTTGTTGCTAAAATATCGGTATCAAACCCGAAACTTCCGGCGGATGGCCAGTAAATGAAGCAAAGAAAAGAATCGGTTATATTTTTCATATGATCGCATCTCCTCTTATGGATGGACAAAATTTCTTTCTACGATTCCAAGTTTTTTTTATTTGTTTATGATAGTTTATTCTATAATCTAATTTTTTAATTATTTAATATGAATATATCAAATTAGTATATTTTTATTCTTACTAAAATTAGTATATTAGTAAGAATAAAAATATACTAAAATTGGTTAGTCAATTGAAAGAGTCCCTATAAGAATGATACTTCTTAGAAGGAAATACTAGTTCTTATGTCAATTGCAAAATACTTAGTTGGTTTCAACACTTTCTAAATCAAAAAAGGGGTCAGTGGACTAAAAAAAGGGACGGAAGAAGGCGAATCAGTATGTTAATCTGAATGAAGAAAAATTGTAGGAGTAAAATCTAAATAGAATGAAAAAAAAGCAAAAGTAGCAACGAAAGTCCATGGAAAAAACAAGATGTATTTTTTTTATTAAACAAAAGGATTGGCAAATAAAAGAGCTAATGCTACAACCAGCCCATAAATAGTTAAAGCTTCCATAAAAGCCAGACTAAGTAATAAAGTACCCCGTATTTTATCCTCTGCTTCCGGTTGTCTCGAATCCCTTCTACAGCTTGCCCTGCAGCTGTGCCTTGACCAACTCCAGGTCCAATAGAAGCAAGCTCGACGGCCAACCCAGCAGCGATAACAGAAGCAACAGCAATCAATGGATTCATGATAAGTTTATCCTATTCCATTAAAAATAAAAAAATAGTTAATAATATAATCAACAAAATATTTATGACTTAATTATTTCATTCTTCATATTTCTCTTTATCTAGTCGAAGTGTAATTCAAAATTTCAAACTTAATAATTTTTATTGAATTATCCCAATTACTTCGATATTCACTTTTTTTGTTTCTACCCTTGTAGTTTTTTGTGAATACATACAATTTTTGGTCTTATCTTACATTTTAAACTTTTTTTTCTTTGATTTCATTTTTTTAGTCATTTTTTTTATATTCAATTCAGAATTACAAGAGATGGAATCTTTTTTTTGAATCCCTACCTAAATTTAGAGTAGTAGCAGATCAAATTTAGATAGATCGTCATATATAACTAATGAATATCTACTATGACATATACGTGTATTTGTTCCATACCGTAAACCAATGAGTTGTATCTTAGATTCAATCAATCATTCTTGGAAATCCCCCAGCTGTCTTATAACGATTAGATTATATATACACCTAGTTTGACCCCCTCAACCTTTTTAATTTATTTAATCTCTATTTTTTTTACAATTCCCTGGTAATTGTTTTAATTTTCTTTCTACTTTTTGATTGTTATTAAACCTTTTTAAAATTTCTTTGTATTTTTTTATTAATATTCCTTAAGTATATTATCGCGAGCCACACATGCTTTGTTACGGGCTAAAACATGATTTTGATAACTAGTCAATGATGCCCTTCCATGGATTCACCTATATACGCCGCAACTAAAGTAGCAAAACTAAGAGCTTGAATACCACTTGTAAATAATCCAAGGAACATAACAGGTATAGGAACTACTAAAGGTACTAACGAAACAAGAACAATAACTACTAATTCATCTGCTAATATATTTCCAAAAAGTCGAAAACTAAGCGATAAGGGTTTTGTGAAATCTTCTAAGATGTTAATCGGTAAAAGGATTGGCGTTGGTTGGATGTATTTACCAAAATAGGCCAATCCCTTTTTTGAAATACCCGCATAGAAATAGGCTACTGACGTAAGTAAAGCTAATGCAACAGTAGTATTTATATAATTTGTGGGTGCAGCTAACTCTCCATGAGGTAACTTTATAATTTCCCAAGGCAAAAGGGCCCCTGACCAATTCGAAACAAAAATAAATAGAAATAGAGTTCCAATAAACGGAACCCATGGACCATATTCTTCTCCAATCTGAGTTTTGCTCACGTCTCGAATGAATTCAAGGACATATTCAAAAAAGTTCTGACAAGACGTGGGAATGGTTTGTGGATTTCTAACAACTAGAATGGTTGAAATTAATAAGATAGCAATTACAACCCAAGAGGTAATAAGTACTTGAGCATGCACTTGAAAATCCCCTATTTGCCAATAGAAATGTTGACCTACTTCCACAGCAGATATATCATAGAATCTGTTTAATGTGTTGATGTAACATAATAGAACATTCATATTGCCCTGTCCTCTAACATAAAAAAATATACCTTGAAAGGGAATTATTTTGATTCAACCATTTCCTTATTTTACTTTGATTTTCTATTTTGAATACCTAACTAATCACAAAATATTTCTTTTTACACAATTTTGTAATGCTATAATAACCAATTCCAAAAATCTATGACCGCACGCCCAACCAAATCTAAAAATTGATTTATCTTATTATTAATCAATTTTTTGTATATAGCTAGAACAACCCTCACAAATTGCAAAAACTAATTTGTTAAGAATTAATCCGATGGAAGCTATAGCATCATCATTAGCCGGAATCGAAATATCTGCAAGATTTGGGTCAGAATTTGTATCAATTAAAGAAATCGTTGGAATTCCCAAAGTGATACATTCTTGAAGAGCCGTATATTCTTCTTGCTGATCAAGGATTATTACAATATCAGGTAATCTTGTCATATATTTTATACCGCCTAGATACCTTTCCAAATGAGATAATTGTCTCTTCAACATAGTGGCATCTCTTTTTGGAAGAGAGTTCAGTTTCCCCGTCTTTTGCTCTGTTCTCAAGTCCCTGAACTCACGAAGTCTCATTTCTGTAGTATACCAATTCGTTAACATACCTCAGAGCCATTTTTTATTAACATAATGACATCGATCTCTTATTGCAGCCCGTGTTACTGAATCAGTTGCTTTTTTTTGTACCAACAATTAAAAATTGTTTTCCTGTGCTTGCTGCATCAAAAGCCAAATCACAAGCTTCTGATAAAAAACGAGCAGTTTTAGTAAGATTTGTAATATGAATACCTTTACGTTTTCCCAATATAAAAGGTGCCATTCTAGGATTCCATTTCCTAGGCTCATGGCCAAAATGAACCCCAGCTTCCATCATCTCTTCAAAAGTGATGTTCATTCTTTTTGTTATTTATCCCCACACTTTTTTTAAAAAAAATAGAAAAAAAATAAAGAGAGACCTAGTATCCTGAAATAAAAATAAATAATTGTTCCGATGGAACCTTCTCTTTTATAGAAGATTGGCCGTTAAGATAGAATCGGGCCATTCTTTTATTTCTATTTATTATTATTTTTTATTCTACTTTATTACCAAATCAAATGACTGCATTTAAAGATTTTAAGGGGCTGAGTCGAATCCTCTTTTAGGAACCATTTAATCCTATATTTCTAATAATGTATCATATAAATTCTTTGAAATGATAAAAATCAAAGAATTTTCTATGATGGAACAAAAGATTTCTAATTTCTACTTCGAAGAATTTTTTTTCCGTGTAATCTTGTTATGTTGCCTTGACCGTGAACGGTGCATTATTCTTTTGAATCTGATACCAACGGGTATCATCCCCCCTAAAACAACATTCTCTTTAAGACCTTTCAACCAATCAATATGACCCCGAAGAGCGGCTTTTGCTAAAACTCTAGCAGTTTCTTGAAAACTCGCTTCAGATATGAAACTTTGAGTATTCAGATATGTTTTTGTTATTCCCAATAATAAAGCTCGGTAACAAATGGGTTCTTCCAAGGCACGCCCCATTCGTTCTGCTCGCAATAATCCAATTAGTTCGCAAGGTAAAAATACATTAGACATTCCATCTTCTGAAACTAAGACTTTGGATGTTATTTGACGCACAATAATCTCGATATGTCTATTATGGATATGTACTCCCTGGGATCGATAAACCTTTTGGATTTTATTAACCAAAGAAATACGACTTTGCGCTATAGTTAGCTCAGCACCAATCAAGAATCCCCAAGGCATGCCGAGAATTTTTGTTATACACTCGTTCCAAGCATAAATTCTTTTTTCTAGATTCATGGATATTGAATCAATCAAACGTATTTCTAATATCTGTTCCACTTTTGGAAGACCTTGTGTTATATCACCGAATCTCGATTTTTCATATATGAATGTAACTAAAATATCTTCTTGAGAAAGGATCTCCCCATAATGGTCCTGAATGGTTGCTTCTGGAGTCGCCAAATAAGGATTAGCCAATCTTATTATTACAGAATCCATTTGAATTGTTATAACTTGACCCGATTTTAGTTTTACGTGTGGTCCATTTTTCATTTTAGCTATACATATATTTTCACAAATCAATTGTCCAAGACTTATTATTGTAAACGTTTTTTCACAATAAAAATGATGGAGAAAAAACCAATTCAAATCGAATGGATTCAAAACAATATTACTGTATAGATCGGGTTTAAAAATTTTCTCATTTTCGTCCATTAAATAATATTTAATTACTTGAAAAATATCAGTGAATTTGTCAAGTTGCAAATTTTTAATGATTGAGATCTTATTATGAGTTATTAAATGATAAAGTGAATAAAAATTCGCAACTTGAAGGGCTATTCCTAAAGGGCCGAACGAATTATTATTATTAATTGAAATTATAGGATCTTTTTTTATTCCGTTGTGAGATTTTACATTGTTGAATGGTCTCATTTGAAAACAATTAGATGATGACAAAATTATCCAAGATCGGCATTCTTTATTTTTATTCAACAACATACGAATAGTTCGGTGATTTTGGCTAAGTGATTGTTGAATTTTTCCCTTGGAATGAATAGAAATAAAGGGATTGATTCGATCCGATTGATTATCCCTGATCAATCCTCAATAGAAGAATTTTTTTCCCGTGATCCCAATTGAAGACTAAACAAGTCCGAACTAATTGAATCCTTGTGTCGGAAATTCCCCGAATGGATTTTCCATTTCCATAAAGAATATAATTGACAACTTTTAGTTCCAGATTATCCTTTTCCTGGAATAGATCTTGGGGAAAAAGTTTTACAAAATTGATATTGTCCGGTATTTCATATAAAATTACAGGTCGAACCAAAACAAAATACTTTTTCTTAGTAGTTGCGATCCATTGGACATAAATCTAATTTTTAAATTTTTTTTGATTCCTTGCATTTTTTTTACTGTTCCGGGCGGTCTCAAGTTGGCACTGTGTCGGGATATCTTATACATCTCTCTGGGAAAATGGATATTTCCAGAAAATATTTTTAATTCTACAGGTAAAGGGGGTTTGAATAAATATTGGTTGTGTTTGAAAAGTTATGAATCGATTGATAAGTCCAATTCCAATATCTTGATTTCTAACGACAATGCACCTGAACCTATATATATATATATATATATATATATATATATATATATATATATCGTCTGTTACTACACGACCAATTAATGTTTGTATCAAAATTCTTTCTGGCATCATTCCATTTCGGGTGTTTACATAAATCCCACAGATGGTACCACAATCTGTTCGCCGTACAACAATGTGTTGAACCACTTCAACAAGTTAACATGTAAGATATCCAGCATCTGATGTTCGTACAGCAGTATCTATAACCCCTTTACGAGCTCCGTAGAAAGAAATTATATATTCTGTTAAAGACAGTCCTTCACGTAAATTGCTTTGAATGGGTAAATCAATCATTTGTCCTTGTGGATCTGACATTAATCCTCTCATTCCGACTAATTGGTTCACTTGAGATGCATTTCCTCTAGCTCCTGAAAAAGACATAATATGGACTGTATTAAAGGAGTCAGTCATCCTAAAATTGGAATTCATTTGTTGTCGCAAATATTCGCTTGTAGCATACCATATTTCAATGGATTGGCGTAATTTTTCTACCGCATGGACATTTCCATAATGATTATGTTTTTCCAAAATGGAACTTTGTTGTTCAGCATCTTGGACTAGCCATCCTTTTGAAGGTATTGTTAAAAGATCATCAATTCCTAATGAAATAGATGTAGCAGTAGCTTGATGGAATCCTAGAGTCTTTACTTGATCTAGGATGTGTGATGTATATGCCATTCCGAAATGATCTATTAATCTACTAATAAGTCGTTTAATGGCAGTTCCACCTATCACGTTATTGTGAAAGACTAGATCGGCCCGTTCTGCCATAAGTACCTCTATATTCCACTCAGTGTTATTCGGTTCGACAATGGATTTGAGTTAATGATTGGAAAACTTCCTTTTCTTTATGTTTATTCACGTAGAAAATTGAAAAGATGCTAGTTGACCTGAATTTACACCAGTATCATAAATTGACTTAGCGTGGATACCAACACTAACCATTTATATGATTAGATACCATATGAATCGGCTCGAGAAAAACCTTGTATAGCTTCTTCGATTTCTCGATAAAAAGAAATATGACCAATAGTGGTTGGAATGTATATACAACGAATTTCTTTTTTTATACTTCTTATTACTAAATAATCCCCATAAATCTCATAATAGGTACCAAAAGATATGAACTTCGATAGGAACTTCTCTTGAAGACATAATGCATTGATCTATTCGCCACCGGAGCCAAAAAGGACTATCAAAATTTATTCTTTTCTGTCTATAAGCTCCAATTGCATCATAGGAATTGCAAAAAAGGGTTCTTTTTTTTTTTCATATACTTCAAGTTATTATTGCTAATTTTTTCATTGTGAGAATTTCGGGAATTAAATGAATTATACTTGTTTGCACAAATACCTCGACGATTTCCGCTAGTTAATACGTAAAGTCCAATAAGCATATCTTGAGTTGGTACACAAATGGGATCCCCAATAGCCAGAGACAAGAGATTCGTATGAGAAAACATAAGTAAACGAGCTTCTGCTTGAGCCTCCAAAGATAAAGGCACATGAATGAACAGCCATTTGATCCCCATCAAAGTCTGCATTGAATCCCTTACACACCAATGGATGTAAACAAATAGCACGTCCTTCGACTAAAATGGGTTGAAATGCCTATATGCCCAATCTATGCAAAGTAGGCGCTCTATTCAGCAATATTGGATGCCCTCGCATAACTTCTTGAAGTATTTCCCATACAATGGGTTCTTTTTCCCGAATTTTCCTCTTAGCAACTCCTATGTTCGAAGCAAAATGGTTTTGAATTAAACCACGAATTAGAAACGTTTGAAATAGCTCTATTGCTATTTCGCGGGGCAATCCACATCGATGTAATGAAAGTGATGGACCTATGACAATAATAGAACGCCCCGAATAATCAACTCGTTTTCCAAGAAGAGTCTCTCGAAATCTTCCCTCTTTTCCCTCAATTATATCAGAAAACGATTTGTAAACTTTATTATTACCGTCCCTCATTGGTTGTCTGCGGATTCCATTATCAAGAAGTGTATTTACGGCTTCTTGTACCAATTTTTCTTGACACATTACTAATTCATCTGGTGTAGATCTACTTGTTGTTAATAGATCAATAAGAGTATAGTTCCGATAGATAACTCTTCTATAGAGTTCATTAATATCTGAACTCATTAGTTTACCGCTATCTATTTGAATAATTGGTCTCAATTCGGGAGGAAGCACTGGTAAGAAACATAATACCATCCATTCTTGTTCTATATTTGTTCGGATAAAATGCTTATAATTCCATGCGTCGAACCAAACAATTCTTTCTTCTTCATACTTTTTGATCTTCCCATTAATTTTCTTTGTCCATGGACCCCTCTTCTCCTAATTCTGTCCATTCTAGCAACGAAGAATCCATAATCATTCTTAAATCCAGATCAACTAATTGTTCTCGTATAGCACCCGCTCCACTAGAAATTTCTCTATTTCGAAATGTATCCAAACCTTGAGTAGCAAAAAAGAGTGGGAGGCTGTATTTCCAGGATTGGATTTCATAGTCGAATGAACCTCGTAATCGTAAGAAAGTTGGTTTTTTAACTACGGGCCTAGCAAAAGAAAAATTTGGATAGGATCCAATAAGATGGATCTCCCCCTTTGAAAATTGGACATGAGGGTTTCCTCTCACCCGGCTAAAGTATTTACACACAATTAAAGATAAAGAAAGGGGTTTCCGCTTTCATATTTTTGAAAACCTCTAATCTAAAATATAAAATAAAAAAGGTTTACTCTTGACTCAAGTTATCAATAAATACCAAGCAACATTTCATTGATATATTCTTCGTTTTTTTTTTGAATTTTTATGCAATTCGAAATTCTGACAGAAATAAAATGTAAAATTCTTGAGTAGTCTACCTCCTTTCGAACAAGGAATCCTCTAAAATGAAATTCTTAATAAAAAAGGAATATCTTTGACTTCATAAGAGATTTCTTTGTCTCTGTATCATACCGTTTGATCTTTTAGGTCAAGACGTCACCTCGACGGGTATGCCACGATGTCTTAAAGCCTATATGCGATAGATAAACTTCTGCAATCATGATATATTTTATTCTTTGAACATAATTTTAGTTCTTTTAAAATATAAAAAAAAAGAGATGGAATAATGAATTCCACAAAAAAGTATTTTTTTTCACAAGGTACATACAATATAAAGAGTTTTTTGTTACTGAATTGACCATAGACCAACTCCCTTATTGGGAGTATTCAATACACCCATGAATTGAATTTTGAGCTTCATGTTACTCATCCCAAGAGACATGCCAGATATAGGACATTCCAATTTAATTGAATGGAATGACAATTTTTCATTCGAAATCTTTACAATAAGAATTTTTATCAAATTACACATCGCAGTATACTAGACCCTCTAATTCTCTAAGAGGTTTATCTAAAAGGCTTGCGATATAACTAGGAAGACGTTTCAAATACCACACATGGGTTACTGGACATGCTAATTTGATATACCCCATTTGATATCTACGTATCCAAGAATCAACAAATTCTACTCCGCATTGTTCACAAAATTGAGGTTGGTCTTTTTTATCTCCGATTACTCGATAATTTCCACAAGCATAAATCCCACTTTTTATAGGCCCAAAAATTCTTTCACAAAATAATCCATCTTTTTTAGGCTTATTGGTTTTATAATGAAGAGTATAGGGTTTTGTTACCTCCCCAACTATTTCTCCATTAGGTAGGATTTTTTTTGCCCAAGCACTTATTTGTTCAGAGGAAACTGATCCAATTCGAATGTCATCCATATCCCTAATATCATATCAGTAGTAACAAGAGATCAATTTTGAGCAATTGAAATTGGTTATACATACTCAATATGAGTAGTTCTCCATATTTAGTTTGTATGCATGCATGCAAGATATATTGCCATCACATCAAATTATAGGAAAAGAAAGCGCTCTTAGTTCAGTTTGATAGAACGCAGGTCTCCAAAACCCGATGTCGTAGGTTCAAATCCTACAGAGCGTGATACCATTCTTCTGAGAATGAGACTAAAATAATGGGATAATAGTCTAAGTCTAATCAAAAGTGTTAATTTGATCTCCTATGAATTAGGATTCAAACAAAAAAATAGGAAGTCAATAAACAAAAGAGACAATACTAAATCAAATATCCAACTGATCGCCACGTCGGTATTGTAAATAGGCCGTTACAAATAATCTAGCTAAAGTAATAGGAATTAGACCTAACACGATTCCAAATAGAAAAACTCCAATCATTTCAGTTTGGTTGAAAGTAAAAAAGGCGGGGGTGATATCGATCCTTAAATATGAATTTATATTGACCAAGAATTAGAAATATGATAAGGAACTACAGAATATCTACAATTTCCAAATTTATCTCAAAATTGCAAATCAAATAAGTCGTATCTTATTCAGACTGATAAAAATACTTGCGGTTATAGTTAAAACCGCTAGTAGAAAACCGAAATAACTGGTTAGAGTGGACATAAGGAAACTAGATGAAATATATTCTTTTTATACATATGTTTATAAAGCACTTTCCTAAGTTTCCATTTTTTTATAGATAAAAATAGGAAAAGAAGCAAAAAATACCACTTGAAAGATACAATGGAAAAGAATTGATTGATGAATCAATTATTACGGACAAACAAAAAGAAAAATATAGTTACATAGGTAAAAAATCAATTCATCATCTGTGACATCTACCCAACCTGGGATTCCAAATCAACAGATTTCTTGATCAACTTCTGAATTGTTTTATTTATTTATATAATTATATATAATATAACGTATATATATAATATAAATAATATAAAGTCCATATATATAGTCTTAAACTTTGAGGAATTTTCGATTCAGTACATCGAAACAAACAACCAGGAAAAAAAGAAATTTTATTTTGTTGTACTCGATCTTGTCACTTATTGTGAAATTTCGTTGTTGTGTTAGAAGAAGGATAACTATACTGATTTGGTATACTGGAACGAGACCCTTGGTACACGATTGACGATCGTAACAAAGATTGAAAATTTCAGTAAATTTCTACTTACTGATCTGATCTTTTATGGAATCGATCCCCCTTTGACTGTATAAGAATATGTGGAGCTCGGCATGTCTGGAAGCACAGGAGAACGTTCTTTTGCTGATATTATTACCAGTATTTGATACTGGATTATTCATAGCATTACTATACCCTCCCTATTCATTACGGGTTGGTTATTTGTCAGCACAGGTTTAGCTTACGATGTATTTGGAAGCCACCGTCCAAACGAGTATTTTACAAAAAGCCGACAAGGAATTCCTTTAATAACCGGCCGTTTTGATTCTTTGGAACAACTCGATGAATTTAGTAGATCTTTTTAGGAGGCTCCAATGACCATAGATAGGACCTATCCCATTTTTACAGTATGATGGTTGGCTGTTCACGGACTAGCGGTACCTACCGTTTCTTTTTTGGGATCAATATCAGCAATGCAGTTCATCCAATGATAAACCTAATCCAAATTATAGAGCTACGACACAATCAAACCCAAATGAAAAAAATGTTGAATTGAATCGTACCAGTCTATACTGGGGTTTATTACTCATTTTTGTACTTGCTATTTTATTTTCAAATTATTTTTTTCAATTAATTGAAGAAAAGAGAATAGTATTTATATATTAGGAATTCTCTTATCCCATTCGGAAGGATATCATTTCATAATTATCTATGACTGTTTAGGTATCTAGTATGACTGACTACTTGATCAAATGTGGAGGAAAGTGGGATAAATGGCTGATACTACTGGAAGAATTCCTCTTTGGATAATAGGTACTGTAGTTGGTATTGTTGTGATCAGTTTAATTGGTATTTTCTTTTATGGTTCATATTCCGGATTGGGATCATCCCTGTAATAATCAGATGAATTTAGTTTTCGAAATGAAAGCATAAGAACTCAACGGGGATCCACTCTTTCTTTGATGAATTCGAAGGGGTCCCATTGAGTTCTTCATAATTAGATAATTTTTGTCAGTAAGTCAATAGATAACTTTATTGTATGTTTCAAAAAATTCCATTTCCTTTTTTTAGGATCTTATGTGTAAGAATAGGGAACTATATACTATATTTAATACTCTATTAAACATAAAAAAGATTCTGTAGAACCAAACCTTTTTGATACTAACAGAATCTTACTTGAAATATATTTCTAATATAGATTCATGATTAAATTCTTTTTTTGAAGTGAATTAAGAAAGTTGTATTTGCTGAATTCAATTCCCGGTCTTTTTTGTTTGTCCATTCCTTAACTACGTATCGATTTCGACATAAACAAGAAGGAATTGGACTCTAGGAAAAGACAAATTATCCATCCTAGAATCCTGTTTTCCCTTTTTCTACTTTACTTAGGTTTAGTATCGAGTCGAATTTAATTCTATTACATTATAAATTCTAATATTTCTATTCTAGGACATGAAAATGTGAAAACAGCGACATAATCAGCGACATAATCATATGGTTCGAATTAATTGTGCAGTTGAAAAAAAAACCAAGAACCAAAGGTCTTTACACAAAATTTATCAACAAAAATGGAGTTCTTTTTACCAGCTTAATATGTTGATAAATTGACATTCCTAAAAATTCATTTCAGACAATTACACCTTCTCAAATTGTTTCTTTTTAAGAACAAAAATTTTTTTGTGCCAAAATAATAGATGCCATAAAGAGCAAGAGACCTTGGACACGTAACGGATCTTGAAGCACTATTTCTGCATCCCCCTGACCAAATCCACCCACATTAGGATTACTCGTTAATGGTTGATCAAGTTTGATAGATTCACCCTCTAAAACAAGAAGTTCTGGTCCTGGCGGTATAATATCAATCACTTCATATCCATCTGATGCATCTACTATCGTTATTTCATATCCACCTTTTTCTTTTCATATTATTTTGTTTACTACACCTGTTGTTGTAGCATTATAAACATTATTATTACTCTTGCTTCCATCGGGATAAATCTGACCCCTTCCCCTGTTCCCGCCTACATATATAGGATATTTTAAGAAGTAAACATCTCTCTTAGTAACGGGATCTGGAGAAAGAATAGGAAAGGTAATTTCACTATATTTTTTTCCAGGAACGGGGCCTATCACAAGAATATTTTTTTTGTGGTACGATAGCTTTGAAAAGACAAATTACCTATCTTTTCTTTAATCTCGGGTGAAAGACGATCAGGAGGGGCCAATTCAAAACCCTCTGGTAAAATAAGAACAACTCCCACATTCAAAGCCCCCTTTTTACCATTAGCAAGAACTTGTTTCACTTGCATATCATAAGGAATTCGAACAACTGCTTCAAATACTGTATCGGGAAGTATCGCTTGTGGAACCTCATTATCTACAGGCTTATTAGCTAAATGGCAATTAGCACATACAATCCGGCCGGTAGCTTCTCGAGGATTTTCATAACCTTGTTGGGCAAAAATAGGATATGCATTTGAAATGGGTGCTCGAGTTATTATATATATCATGAGCAATACGGAAATGGATCGGGTAATCTCTTTCTTTATCCAAGAAAAAGAATTTATAGTTTGCATGGTCCAATCATTGATCCTGAAAATTTCTACAATAAGATTAGGTAGGTTACTGGCACAGTTCCCTATCCATGATTCTGCTATTTACTCTAATTCTTTTCATATAATATAGGAAGCATGCGAGTAAAACGAAAATGAATAAGTTCAATTTAAAATGTTTAGCTTTTCTATACAAAAAACAAATTTTATAATTGGATCAGTGGGTCATTTTTTCATTCCTTCATTGAATGATAAATGACTACAAGCGACGGAGATACACGATTTAAATAACGGAAAATAGAGTATTTAAAAATAGTATCTAAAATGACTGGAAAAATTGAAACAAGACAAGATAGAATCTGATCATTCGGAGTAAATCCAAAATCTTTATAGACAGACCCAATCATGAGTTCCCAACCCTGAGTCGAATGGAATCCTATACAAAAATCAGTTAATAAAAGAATAGAAAAAGTTTTATTGTGTCACTTAAGTTATATAGAAATTCTTGAACCCAAGAGTTAAGAATAGTGAGTTCTTGATTACCTCGAATAGAATAACCACTTAGAATAAGTAAACATATTATATTTGTACAGAAATGAAAAATCGTATGGATATGATCTAGGTTGTTCGTCTCGATCAATTGGATGGTCTCTTTATAGATTTCGATACGAAGGTTTTGTAAACGTGTTTCCGGGTATCCCTTTAGCATTTCATCCAAGAGGAACAGTTCCTCGAACTCTAGCAATTTCTTTAAAATACTTTTTTCTTGAATAGTATTCAAGACAATTTTGGATTCTTTCATATTCCCCTAATTAGTAATCCAAGATTCCAGACTTTTCTGAAATGTAAAAGAGATGCACCAGGGCAAAATGACTATAGATGTAAGACATAGAAGGGGAATGCATGCTTTCTTTTTTGCCATTTTTCGGCTTTAATGAACTCAGTTTCATATCATTTTTTAACTATATATAATAATAATCTTTCTATCAAGCATAAGTTCTATTACAAGTAAATACAAGTAATAGAGCTTAGCCTAGAATATATCAATTTATAATTTTTTTCATAGAAATTGAGAAGCTATTCTTTTTATTTTTAATTCGGAGGTTAGTTTCTTTTTCCTTCAATTTGAAAAAAGAATCCAAAAGAATCCATAAATCAAATAAGAAAACGAAATAAGCCATTGCCAATTTGAATGAAGAAGAAAAAAAGTGTTTCAAAAGCTATGAATTAAAAATGAAATTGTTTGGATACAGCGATTTCCATTGGTATACACAAGAATATGGAACGGTTTCCATTGGTACACTCAAGAGTCTGGACAAGTCCCAAGCTTTTTGTATAACGTTGCATGGAGTCCTATCATCAACAGGAGTCAAGGGAATGGTCCCCTGTTCTCTGGTTTGCATATAAAGGACACAACTACTAGGTTCTGGGTTAGCTTGTAGTATGAGGGACTGGATATCTTCCATACGAACTCGGAGAAAAATATGACGATATGTTCCAAGAAATCCGTAACGAAAAAAACATACCATTCAGTTTTTTTTATCGAAAAAATTATAGCCACTCCCCACATTCCAAAAAATTAGAAGCCACCAATGTAAACTTAGAAAGAGACCCGCAATTCCATAAAAAGTCAGCGTGACTCCTTGTGTCAAAAAAGGAATGACAAATTCGGACGAAATGAAAGAGAAAAAATCCCTCCCATAATAACTGGAAACTAAAATATATAAAACTCCTAATGAACCTAAAAGAGTGAAAGACGCCCAAAATAAATTGATAATTTTTCAGGACCCCGGTACAATGTCAAGCCATGCGTCTTGTGAACGACAACCAAGTTTTTCTGACCCCCAACTAATGAATTTTGGAACATGAACCAATAAAGCAGACATTACAATTAATACAAGGCCCACTAAAAATACATAAACGTTTATCATAAAATGGGTGCCTCAATTTCATATTTGTACCTGTTCTTTTTTCTTGATTGTTAGATTAATATTTATGTTGTTATATGAAAACCTCCTTATCTTATTAAGGCTTATATAATATTAGTACTTTTCTTTTTTTTTTTATTGAAGGCAATAGTTATTCAAAAATGGAACAAAAGAACAAATCCAAACTAAAAAATTTAACCCTATTTTCAAAAATATATGAAACTTGTGGTATCTAAAAAATCTTGTTTTTTTGAACATGAAGAAATAAAGAAGCCATTGCAACTGCCGAAAATACTAGGCCTACTAAAGGAACAAAAAGGGATGGTAAGTTTATCATAAAATGGGGTACCTCAATTTCATATTTGTACCTGTTCTTTTTTGTTGATTGTTAGATTAATATTTGGATTCTTCTTATATTGGAATAAAGAAAGTCTATAATCACTAGAATTCATATAGACTTATACTAAGTCTATTTTTTAAATTCTACTATGTAGAGCTAAATATATATAGTATAAAAGAGAATAAACCCATAAGAAAAAAATGGAATAAGATTTATTAAGAATCAAAATCGTTAATTTTAATAATTTGAATATTAAATTAAATATAAGGAATGTCGAACGAAATAACTAGATTTATTTTGCTATCTATTTCTACAAGAAATATGTCCATGATAATTAATCTTTATTTTTTATTCTTATCTTATTACTTTACTCTTGTGTGTTCTCATTTTCTTTTTATATCATTTTTATATAATAATAAGATTTCTTTATGATATTCATTTTATGATATTAATGAAAAGTTAAAAATTGAAAAACATAAATAAAATGATAGTCTGCATTAGTTTTCATTTTCAATCCAAGAAAAGCAACCATGGAATTCAAATAACTCACTTAAAAAGTCCTTTAAAGAATCACGTGATACGATTGAATCCAATAAGCCTTTTTCGAAAAAAACTTCAGCCGATTGGGAACCTTCAGGCACTTCCTTATTCAACATTTGTTCAATTACTCTTTTACCCGTAAATGCAAGGTAAGCTTTTGGTTCGACAATAATGATATCCCCCAACATCCCAAAACTAGCTGTTACCCCACCAGTAGTAGGCGATGTAAGTATCGCTACATAGAGTAACTTTTGATTGATTTGATAATTATATAAAGCAGAAGATATTTTAGCCATTTGCATTAAGCTCAAACTTCCTTCTTGCATACGCGCTCCTCCAGACGCACATACTATAATAAGAGGTAAAAGTTGATTGGTACCATATTCGATTAACCGAGTTATTTTCTCACCCACTACGGATCCCATACTACCCCCCAGAAACTGAAAATCCATAATACCTATTGCTACAGGAATACCATTTAGTTGACATGTGCTTGTTGGAACCGCCTCCACTAATCCTGTACTTTCTTGATAAAAATCAAGACGATCTATATAAGGTCCGTCTTCCGTAGAAGATTCATATTCGTCTTTCGTAGAAGGTTCGTCTTCCGGAGAAGATTCGTATTCATCTTCCATAGAAGGTTCGTCTTCCGGAGAAGATTTGTCTTCCGTATAAGGTTTGTCTTCCGTCGAAGGTTCGTTAGAAGGTTTGTCTTCCGTAGAAGGTTCGTTAGAAGGGTTGTCTTCCATAGAAGATTCATATTCGTCTTCCGTAGAAGATTCGTATTCGTCTTCAGTAGAAGGTTCGTCTTCCGTATAAGGTTTATCCCATTCAATGGGATCTGGAGAAAACATGTCTTCATCCATAGGATTCCAAGTACCTGGATCAATCGAAAGTTTGATTCTATCTGAACTGCTCATTTTCAAATGATCTCCACAGTGTTCGCAAATATTCATTTTGGATTTAAAAATTTCTTATAATTTAGTCCAAAGCAACTTTCACATTGAACCCATAAATGCTTAAATTGTTGAGTATAAGAAGTATCTTTTGGATCATCAGGATATTGTATTGGAGTAAATTTACTATTATTTGTATCATTAGAATATTCTATTGGAGTAAAATCACTATCATTTGTATCATTAGAATTTTCTATTGGAGTAAAATTACTATCATTTGTATCATTAGAATTTTCTATTGGAGTAAAATCACTATCATTTGTATCATTAGAATTTTCTATTTGATACAAATCACTATCATTTGTACCATTAGAATTTTCTATTTGATACAAATCACTATCATTTGTATCATTATAATTTTCTATTTGATACAAATCACTATCATTTGTATCATCGGAAATGTAACTATTCAAGTCACTGATATTGGCATTGTAGTTGTCACTATCATCAAAATGTAACTAGCAATACAGATTTGATAACGAAGATAACTCTCAATCCAACTATTAATGTTCTTAATCCAATTACATTGAGTATCATCTATGTAATTAGAATCATTACTCTTAGAGACATTTATCAAATAGCTATAATTTTGATAACTAGCAAAAAAAACTTTCTGGTTCATTAAAAAAAGAATGATTATTGTCAATCTCCAAAATTTGATTTTCAATAGAAAAATTTATGGAATAACTATTCCTATTAATATCCCTAACTAAAAAAGTTTTATCAGATAGGAAATTCTGTATGTTGCTGACATCTACTAAATAATCACCATGTCTGTAACTATCATTTTCACTATTGTTCTTCCAACTATGAATGTCATTATCCATATCAGTTAAAATAGATGGGTCATCAGTTAAAATAGATGGGTCTTCATTTACACCGTTATTTTCAATAGGATCAAAACTATCTATTGAGTTACTTAAACCACACCTATATTCTAAATCCCTATTAAACAACATTAAATTGAACCACTTTCTTTCCATAAATCTGTTTTCCTCTATTTCATGAAAATATAATAGATGAATAGTCATTCGATGATCATTTTTTATCGACTTAAGTATAGAAATAGAATTGCTAGGATTAATAACTTATAATAATAATGAGCGAAGAAGTATTGAAAAAATGTATCATTTATATTTGAATATCAAATCAATAACTATTTCTAATATAAAAATAAATGAATAGAATAAAAACAAAGAAGTAAAAAGGCTCATTTGGTCTACGGTATTTATGCACCAAATTAGTTTATTTCTTGACTTTTTCCTAATATGAGGTAGGTTGAGCACCGAATTTTGGAATAACAGGAATATTAGAATGGGTTATTTAGTGGATAAAAAAAGGACTTTCCGAAGATAACCTCCCTATCTTCGGGATCGAACATGAATTTCAATGATTCGATAAACGGATCGTTCGAAGTCATATAGATGAACAATATATCCCCTAGAAACGTATAATAAGTTTTTTCTTCGTATGGCTCAATTCAAAATTATGTCTATAATTATGATGTAAAATAGATCACTCAAATCAAAAAATCGAGGATCCCTATTTCTAGATACTAGAAACTAGATAGTATAAAGAAAATAGGGCATGTAAGAATCCGCAGCTAATATAGTCACGTTTTTCAAGTCCCACGCTGCTTTTTACTACATCGTTTCAAACGAGGTTTTACCATAACATTATTTTTTAGTTTCAATATAGTATGTAATTGATTCCATTTTGAAATCGTGCATAGTCATTGACTCAATCAATAGATAATAATATATACTTTTCACTTCTAGGTTTTAGGTTTTCTGACTATACAATTTTATTTCTAAAGTCATGAAGTAGAAATTAAGTCAATATTCTATTTTCATGGTTTGTAAATTAAATCTAAAAGATCAATTTCTATAAAAAAAAGGAATATTTATTCGGATATACAATTTGTATTGAAATAGGTATATATCTTGAATAGATATGATCTGGGACGGAAGGATTCGAACCTCCGAATAACGGGACCAAAACCCGCTGCCTTACCGCTTGGCCACGCCCCATTTTGATTCGACATTAATAAATAGTATTATGAGTTGTTCGTCAATTACACTTCGAAATTTATTATATAGAATAAATTGTTGCTAGAATTTTGATATGTATCGATATCGAATTAAATGAAATTTATTGATCATTCCATAGAATTCAATTAAGATATTGTTTGAACTTATTCAGTTCAAATCAAAAAAAGTGGGGGTCTGATCTTAGTTGATTCATCTTTTTTTTTCTTGTTTTATTACTGATTTAGTAATCTTCATATCTATAAATAAGAATTCAATATTTTATATTCTATCCTTTTTTATTTTCAAATTATTCATTTTCTATTATATATGTTATCTATTCTATATAAATAAAATCAAAAAATTTTGATTTTATATTTCATTGTTAATATAAAAGTATAATACAAAAATGGATAATAATAATAATAAATTATATAATAAATCATATCATATATAGAATAAATCATATATATAATAATAAAAAAATACAATCAAAATTAGAATTAAAAACAAAAGAAAAAAGACAATTCTTTTTCTTAAAGAAAAACATTTTTGTTATGCTTAATATCTTTAGCTCGGTCTGTATTTGTATTCACTCTGCCCTTTATTCAAGTAGTTTTTTCTTCGGGAAATTACCAGAAGCTTATGCTTTTTTGAATCCAATTGTAGATTTTATGCCAGTAATACCCTTACTCTTTTTTCTCTTAGCTTTTGTTTGGCAAGCTGTTGTAAGTTTTCGATAAGATCTTTAATTTGAATAATGTCCGGAAAAAAGTCAGAATTTATTAGAAAACTCAAATTTTAACATTTTTAAAAATAAGATAAGTCTTACAGTGTGAATCCGTGATTATAAATCTTGAAATTGTTGGATAGACAATAAAAATATGGATCATCTCATCATTTCCTTTTTTTCCATTCAAAAATAAAAATTATATTATTCTATTATTTGATTTGAGTCTACCACCAATATGTGGATCTTGTGGATATGAAAGAAAATTGAATTGTTGGTAATGGTAAAACAAATCCATTTTTTTTGTTTCTTTGAAATAACTTCATTTCTTATAAACTAAGTATCAAAGGAAACATAATATGAAATACAAGAGAATCTATTCTCTTTCTCTGTCATTTTTTTTATTATCTTGGAGATTTTTTAATGCTTACTCTAAAACTATTTGTTTACACAATAGTGATATTCTTTGTTTCTCTTTTCATCTTCGGATTCCTATCTAATGATCCAGGACGTAATCCTGGACGTGAAGAATAAGAAAATCTTTTTTCTTTTCCGTACTTATGCTGGATTTTTAAATATTTTTCGTTTTTCTATCTATTTTACATCTTGAACTAGGAAAAAATGAAACAAACAGGGAATAAAAAAAAAAGAAATTCCAGAAGTTCAAAAGAAAAAATGCCAAATCATCAATAAACGGAAAGAGAGGGATTCGAACCCTCGGTACAAAAATCCGTACAACGGATTAGCAATCCGACGCTTTAGTCCACTCAGCCATCTCTCCCCAATTCAAAAAATTGAATTATTATGCTTATGATACCTCGGATAAACAAAAAGAACAAAAAATAGGGCTCAAAAAAGCCTTCTATATATCTTATTTGATATTGATCGTCATTTGATATATCTTATCTATCTATCTTTTTTCTATTTGATTATCATTTTATTTAATTACTATTCATAATTCTATATTAACTCATAAATATTAGTTATATTTTCTTATACCTATACTAAATTTATATTCTATATATACGCAATATAAAAAATTTTCTTTTTTTTTTTTTTAGTTTCTTTTTTTATCCAACCAGAGTCCAGCTAGGTACTGGCACGACTCTTTTTTCCCATGAATCACAATGATTTATTTTTCTATATCAGATTTGAAAGAAACTTGTAATTAAGGAAAACATTTTAATACGATCAAACAAAAATAAAAATAACTTTTTGATCGTATATCATACGAATTAATCTGTTAACGCATCTAAAAAAAGAAATAGAACTATGGATTCTTGCACAATGCATTTTTGTCTTGTGAATTTCGTTTAGTAATTTTGTCGAGATCTATCTGTCAAAATACCTTCAACAAAATCCAAAAATGAGATTCGCCCCCTTTTGTAAATTTCATTAGGGGGCCCTTTACGAAACATGTGAACACTGTGTATTTATCATAAAATTCTGCACCTATTTCATAATTAGGACTGATTCCCCTTCCTGTATTGATATTGACAAAGATCTTTTTATATACAATAATAGTATTGTAGCGGGTATAGTTTAGTGGTAAAAGTGTGATTCGTTCTATTGACCCCTTAATAGTAATAGTTAAGGGGTCCCTTCCATGATTCATATCACGATCACAAACTATATTTATTACTTAAAGGTATTTAATCCTTTATACCTCTCAAGGAGCAATTCGAGGAACAATATACATTATCATAATTTGTATACAATTTAGAATTGATTCTAAAATTATGAAACATAAGTTTTTGCAATTGGATCCAGAATCCCAATTTTTGAATATAAGTAAAGGATCCAGGGAGAAAGATATATAAAATTCGTTTCCAATCGTAACTAAATCTTCCAATTTTTTTATTATTTGTTTTGTATAAGAGAGATTGAAGCAAAATAGCTTTTTTAGTTTACTAAAAACATCAACATATTTTTTTAGCTCGACGGAAATTTTATTCTTTTCCTAAAGATTCTCTCAAATAGAAATAGAGAACGAAGTAACTAGAAAAAAAAAAGATTGTTCGAATACTCCTTTTCTATAGGGATCATCTAAAAAGCAACGTTAATTGTATTCATACCGAAAGGCTGACATAGATGTTATGGATTTTTTTTTCATGTATTCCATCTATCTCTTAAATTATTCTGTAAAGGAGCTGAATAAAACAAAAGTTTCACGTTCAAGTTTTGAATTAGAGACGTTCATTCATAAACGTCGACTATAACCCTTAGTAAATTTCTTCATTTAGTTTTAGTAAATTTCGTGAAAAGGGAAAGAAAAAAAGAAAAGCGTTCATTGTCTAATGGATAGGACATAGGTCTTCTAAATCCTTGGTATAGGTTCGAATCCTATTGGACGCAAATTGATTACATATTGAATTTATTGCAATTGCATATATATATTAATTGAATTCGTATATTTCTAAAAATAAATTGTGAATTTATTATCTTTATGATTCTTTTTTTTAAGAGACTAATGATAGAAATTTTTTAACGGTATGAAAATTTTAATCAATTTTTTTCTACTTGTTCCTGAAGTAAAAAGAGTTCCATCTATTTCTGAATAGCTTCCTTCAAAATGGCTTCTGCTTCCCCAGTGAATGTCTTGGTAGAAGATATGATTTCGTTGAATTTAGGTTTATTCGTTTTTAAATAAGCTTGTAACTCAAGGAGAAATTTCCTTACCTGTTCAATTTCTAATGAATCAAGATAACCGTTCGTTCCAATATAAATAGTTATTATCTGTTCTTCTACAGTAAGAGGAGCTGATTGGGATTGTTTAAGCAACTCGCGCAATCGTTGACCTCTTACCAATTGATTTTGTGTGGCTTTATCGAGATCTGAAGAGAATTGTGCAAAAGCTTCTAATTCTGCGAATTGTGACAATTCCAATTTTAATTTACCAGCTACTTGTTTCATGGCTTTTATTTGAGCCGCCGATCCAACTCTGGAAACGGAAATACCCACATTAATTGCGGGTCTGATCCCAGCATTGAATATATCAGCAAATAAGAATATTTGGCCATCTGTAATAGAAATTACATTAGTAGGAATATAAGCTGAAACATCTCCTGATTGGGTCTCAACTATTGTTAAAGCAGTCATACTTCCTTCACCTAACTGAGAACTTAATTTAGCGGCTCTTTCCAAAAGACACGAATGTAAATAAAAAACATATCTGGGATAAGCTTCGCGACCTAGTGGTCTTTGTAATAGAAGAGACATTTGGTGATAAGCATGTGCTTGTTTGGAGGGATCATCATAAATGATTAAAGTGTGGCTCACGGTACATAAAATATTCAGCCAGAGCTGCTCCTGTATAAGGCGTGAGGTATTGTAATGTAGTTGGGGAATTTGCTATTTCAGCCACTTTAATAGTGTATTCCATTACTCCTCTTTCTTGTAAAGAAGTTACGACTTGAGCCACATAATATGCTTTTTGACCAATAGCTACATAAACACATACTACATTTTGTCCTTGTTGATTGAGAATCGTATTTGTAGCTACTGTTGTTTTACCAGTTTGTCTGTCCCCAATAATCAATTCTCGCTGGCCACGCCCTATAGGGATCATAGAATCAATAGCAATAAGTCCCGTTTGAAGGGGCTCATACACGGACCGTCTAGAAATAATACCAGGAGAGGGAGATTCGATTAACCAAGATTCCGAAGCTGAAATTTCTCCTCGACCGTCAATAGGTTTAGCTAGGGCATTTACAACATGACCCAAATAACCCTCACTTACTGGTATCTGAGCAATTCTTCATGTTGCTTTTATGGAACTTCCCTCTTGTATCATCAAACCATCACTCATTAATACAACACCAACATTTTTTGATTCCAAATTCAAAGCAATGCCTACTGTACTTTCTTCAAATTCTACTAATTCACCCGCCATTACTTCATCAAGACCATAAATACGAGCAATGCCATCGCCTACTTGAAGTACGGTACCTGTATTTACAATTTTTACTTCGGTATTATATTGCTCAATAAATTCACGAATAATTTTACTAATTTCATCTGCAAGAATGGTTACCATGAATATTTCTGAATTTGATTCTTTTTCGAAGAAAAACAAAAAGAAGGCCTGCCTGCCTATACTCTCAATTATAGTAGAACAACTAATCAGTTATTTTTTTCTTTCATCGCCCCAAACATACCAATATTAGCACTGATCGTACGTAAATGTAACTCGTTGTTTAAGCAACTATTCAAAGTTCCCAGAGCTCCTTGTAATGCTTGTTGTAAAACCCTTTGTTGCACTTGATTAATTTCCCTTTGTTGTTCAAAATGAATGGTTTCATTTTTGTAATTTTCGAATTGTTCCAAAGTTGTATACATTGAATTAATTAAATTAAAATTTTCTCGTTCTATCTCGGAATAACCATTCACTCGAAATCGATCTGCTTCCATTTCTACTTTCCTTAAACGGGACCGGGCTTTTTCCAGCTGTTCAATGGTTGTTTCCCGTAGTTCTTCTGAATTCGAATAGTTCTCAAGATTCTCTGTTTTCGATTATCTAATAAATCACTTAATGAAAGTAGATTCTCTTTCCATTCATTTCAAAATGTCTATGATCTCTTCCCGAACAAAACATGAATCTTTCAATTCATTTGGCTCTCACACTCAATTCCTTATAAGAAATTTCCCCATATTTATAATGGAATGAGCCTATCCTCTTTTCTCTATTTCGAAAAATCTTGAAAATGCAAGACCCAAATATTTGGAGGACTCTTCTGACCAAACAAATAATTGTCAGCAAAGTTATTTTTTTCTTGAAATCCAAAGAATTCTCATTAATTTATACGTAGGTCATTAATTCTGCATTGTAGAAAGTAGAAACGGAGGCGTTAAACACAACACCTTTTTCCTATTTTTCATCCATCATAAAGAGAATTCAAGTCAGTTTTTCGACATGAGTGTTCTATATCGAAAAAATTATAATTTCACTATTAACATAGTGGTAGAAAGAATACTAGACTGCGTCGAAACTTCAAACTGGTTAGCTTTAACCATGGTAATGTTCCAAAATTCTTGGTTGATAGAGAATCAAAGTAGATTTCCCAATGAATCGCGAAATGCTATGGTTCTTAACTTTTTTTTTCTCGTTATTTTGTAAGAAGTCATTCGCCGGATCATCCACATTTTCCTAGTTATAACAAAAAAAGTGCAGTTGGTTGTATCCAATTTATTCTTTGAAATAAACAACCCGCACACACTCCCTTTCCAAAAACAATCAATACACCTAGCACTGCACTTAGATTTATTAGATTTATTGCTAAAATATCGGTATCAAACCCGAAACTTCTGGCGGATGGCCAGTAAATGAAGCAAAGAAAAGAATCGGTTATATTTTTCATATGATCGCATCTCCTCTTATGGATAGACAAAATTTCTTTCTATGATTCCAAGTTTTTTTTATTTGTTTATGATAGTTTATTCTATAATCTAATTATTTAATATGAATATATCAAATTAGTATATTTTTATTCTTACTAAAATTAGTATATTAGTAAGAATAAAAATATACTAAAATTGGTTAGTCAATTGAAAGAGTCCCTATAAGAATGATACTTCTTAGAAGGAAATACTAGTTCTTATGTCAATTGCAAAATACTTAGTTAGTTTCAACATTTTCTAAATCAAAAAAGGGGTCAGTGGAATAAAAAAAGGGACGGAAGAAGGCGAATCAGTATGTTAATTCGAATGAAGAAAAAATTGTAGGAGTAAAATCTAAATAGAATGAAAAAAAAAAGCAAGAGCAGCAACGAAAGTCCATGGAAAAAACAAGATGTATTTTTTTTATTAAACAAAAGGATTGGCAAATAAAAGAGCTAATGCTACAACCAGCCCATAAATAGTTAAAGCTTCCATAAAAGCCAGACTAAGTAATAAAGTACCCCGTATTTTGTCCTCTGCTTCCGGTTGTCTCACAATCCCTTCTATAGCTTGCCCTGTAGTTGTGCCTTGACCAACTCCAGGTCCAACAGAAGTAAGCCCGACGGCCATCCCAACAACGATAACAGAAGCAGCAACTATCAGTGGATTCGTGATAAGTTTCTCCTATTCCAAAGAAAATAAAAAAATAGTTAATAATATAATCAACAAAAAATTTATGACTTAATTATTTCATTCTTCATATTTCTCTTTATCTAGTCGAAGTGTAATTCAAAATTTCAAACTTAATAATTTTTATTGAATTATCCCAATTACTTCGATATTCACTTTTTTCGTTTTTACCCTTGTAGTTTTTTGTGAATACATACAATTTTTGGTCTTATCTTACATTTTAAACTTTTTTTTCTTTGATTTCATTTTTTAGTCATTTTTTTATATTCAATTCAGAATTACAAGAGATGGAATCTTTTTTTTGAATCCCTACCTAAATTTAGAGTAGTAGCAGAACAAATTTAGATAGATCGTCATATATAACTAATGAATATCTACTATGACATATACATGTGTTTGTTCCATACCGTAAACCAATGAGTTGTATCTTAGATTCAATCAATCATTCTTGGAAATCCCCCAGCTGTCTTATAATGATTAGATTATATATACACCTAGTTTGACCCCCTCAACCTTTTTAATTTATTTAATCTCTATTTTTTTTTACAATTCCCTGGTAATTGTTTTAATTTTCTTTCTACTTTTTGATTGTTATTAAACCTTTTTAAAATTTCTTTGTATTTTTTTATTAATATTCCTTAAGTATATTATCGCGAGCCACACATACTTTGTTGCGGGCTAAAACACGATTTTGATAACTAGTCAATGATGCCCTTCCATGGATTCACCTATATACGCCGCAGCTAAAGTAGCGAAAATAAGAGCTTGAATACCACTTGTAAATAATCCAAGGAACATAACAGGTATATGAACTACTAAAGGTACTAACGTAACAAGAACAACAACTACTAATTCATCCGCTAACATATTTCCAAAAAGTAGAAAACTAAGCGATAAGGGTTTTGTGAAATCTTCTAAGATGTTAATCAGTAAAAGGATTGGCGTTGGTTGGATGTATTTACCAAAATAGGCCAATCCCTTTTTTGAAATACCCGCATAGAAATAGGCTACTGACGTAAGTAAAGCTAATGCAACAGTAGTATTTATATCATTTGTGGGTGCAACTAACTCTCCATGAGGTAACTTTATAATTTTCCAAGGCAAAAGGGCCCCTGACCAATTCGAAACAAAAATAAATAGAAATAGATTTCAAATAAACAGAACCCATGGACCATATTCTTCTCCAAACTTAGTTTTGCTCGCGTCTCGAATGAATTCAAGGACATATTCAAAAAAAATCTGACCAGACGTGGGAATAGTTTGCAGATTTCTAACAACTAGAATGGTTGAAATTAATAAGATAGCAATTACAACCCAAGAGGTAATAAGTACTTGAGCATGCACTTGAAAATCCCCTATTTGCCAATATAAATGTTTACCTACGTCCACAGCAGATATATCATAGAATCTGTTTAATGTGTTGATGTAACATAATAGAACATTCATATTGCCCTGTCCTCTAAAACAAAAAAATTTACCTTGAAAGGGAATTATTTTGATTCAACCATTTCCTTATTTTACTTTGATTTTCTATTTTTAATACCTAACTAATCACAAAATATTTCTTTTTACACAATTTTGTAATGCTATAATAACCAATTCCAAAAATCTATGACCGCACGCCCAACCAAATCTAAAAATTGATTTATCTTATTATTAATCAATTTTTTTGTATATAGCTAGAACGACCCTCACAAATTACAAAAACTAATTTGTTAAGAATTAATCTGATGGAAGCTATAGCATCATCATTAGTCGGAATCGAAATATCTGCAAGATCTGGGTCAGAATTTGTATCAATTAAAGAAATCGTTGGAATTCCCAAAGTGATACATTCTTGAAGAGCCGTATATTCTTCTTGTTGATCAAAGATTATTACAATATCAGGTAATCTTGTCATATATTTTATACCGCCTAAATATCTTTCCAAATGAGATAATTGTCTCTTCAACATAGTGGCATCTCTTTTTGGAAGAGAGTTTAGTTTCCCCGTCTTTTGCTCCTTTCTCAAGTCCCTGAACTCACGAAGTCTCGTTTCTGTAGTATACCAATTCGATAACATACCTCTGAGCCATTTTTTATTAACATAATGACATCGAGCTCTTATTGCAGCCCGTGTTACTAAATCGACTGCTTTTTTTTTGTACCAACAATTAAAAATTGTTTTCCTGTGCTTGCTGCATCAAAAGCCAAATCACAAGCTTCTGATAAAAAACGAGCAGTTTTAGTAAGATTTGTAATATGAATACCTTTACGTTTTCCCAATATAAAAGGTGCCATTCGAGGATTCCATTTCCTAGGCTCATGGCCAAAATGAACCCCAACTTCCATCATCTCTTCAAAAGTGATGTTCCAATATCTTTTTGTCATTTATCCCCACACTTTTTTTAAAAAAAAGGAAAAAAAAATAAAGAGAGACCCAGTATCCTGAAATAGCAATAAATAATTGTTCCGATGAAACCTTCTCTTTTATAGACGATTGGCCGTTAAGAAAGAATCAGGCCATTCATTTATTTCTATTTATTATTATTTTTTATTCTACTTTATTACCAAATCAAATGACTGCATTTAAAGATTTTAAGGGGCTGAGTCGAATCCGCTTTTAGGAACCATTTAATCCTATATTTCTAATAATGTATCACATAAATTCTTTGAAATGATAAAAATCAAAGAATTTTCTGTGATGGAACATAAGATTTCTAATTTCTACTTCGAATAATTTTTTTTCTCCGGGTAATCTTGTTATGTTGCCTTAACCGTGAATGGTGCATTATTCTTTTGAATCCGATACCAACGGGTATCATCCCCCCTAAAACAACATTCTCTTTAAGACCTTTCAACCAATCAATACGACCCCGAAGAGCGGCTTTTGCTAAAACTCTAGCAGTTTCTTGAAAACTCGCTTCAGATATGAAACTTTGAGTATTCAGAGATGTTTTTGTTATTCCCAATAATAAAGCTCGGTAACAAATGGGTTCTTCCAAGGCACGCCCCATTCGTTCTGCTCTCAATAATCCAATTAGTTCGCCAGGTAAAAATACATTAGACATTCCATCTTCTGAAACCAAGACTTTGGATGTTATTTGACGCACAATAATCTCGATATGTCTATTATGGATATGTACTCCCTGGGATCGATAAACTTTTTGGATTTTATTAACCAAAGAAATACAACTTTGTGTTATAGTTAGCTCAGCACCAATCAAGAATCCCCAAGGCATGACGAGAATTTTTGTTATACACTCGTTCCAAGCATCAATTCTTTTTTCTAGATTCATGGATATTGAATCAATCGAACGTATTTCTAATATCTGTTCCACTTTTGGAAGACCTTGTGTTATATCACCGGATCTCGATTTTTCATATATGAATGTAACTAAAATATCTCCTTGAGAAAGGATCTCCCCATAATGGCCGTGAATGGTTGCTTCTGGAGTCGCCAAATAAGGATTAGCCAATCTTATTATTACAGAATCCATTTGAACTGTTATAACTTGACCCAATTTTAGTTTTAGGTGTGGTCCATTTTTCATTTTAGATATACATATATTTTCACAAATCAATTGTCCAAGACTTATTATTGTAAACGTTTTTTCACAATAAAAATGATGGAGAAAAAACCAATTCAAATGGAATGGATTCAAAACAATATTACTGTATAGATCGGGTTTAAAAATTTTCTCATTTTCGTCCATTAAATAAGATTTAATTACTTGAAAAATTTCAGTGAATTTGTCAAGTTGCAAATTTTTAATGATTGAGATCTTATCATGAGTTATTAAATGATAAAGTGAATAAAAATTTGCAACTTGAAGGGATATTCCTAAAGGGCCAAACGAATTATTATTATTAATTGAAATTATAGGATCTTTTTTTATTCCATCGTGAGATTTTACATTGTTGAATGGTCTCATTTGAAAACAATTAGATGATGATAAAATTATCCAAGATCGACATTCTTTATTTTTATTCAAGAACATACGAATAGTTTCGTGATTTTGGCTAAGTGATTATTGAATTTTTCCCTTGGAATGAATAGAAAAAAAGGGATTGATTTGATCCGATTGATTATCCCTGATCAATCCTAAACCAGACGGGTCATTTCTTTTTCTAATATATGAAGTATTAGATTTGACTAAGTCAATTCTTAGAAAATACTCAATCAAACCATTTGTACTTACTTCAATAAAGGAAGCGGGGGCCTCCTCAATAGAAGAACTTTTTTTTCCCGTGATCCCAATTGAAGACTAAACAAGTCCGAACTAATTGAATCCTTGTGTCGGAAATTCCCCTAATGGATTTTCCATTTCCATAAAGAATATAATTGACAACTTTTAGTTCCAGATTATCCTTTTCCTGGAATAGATCTTGGAGAAAAGGTTTTACAAAATTGATACTGTCCGGTATTTCATATAAAATTACAGGTCGAACCAAAACAAAATACTTTTTCTTCGTAGTTGCGATCCATTGGACATAAATCCAATTTTTAAATTTTTTTGATTCCTTGCATTTTTTTTACCGCGCTCCTGGCGGTCTCAAGATGGCACTGTGTCAGTATATCTTATCCATCTCTCCGGGAAAATGGATATTTCCAGAAAATATTTTTAATTCTATTTTTTTCTTTTTTAATCAGACCAATCCACCTACTCGTCTTCTTATATTGAAAGTGATTGGTGTTCCTATTCCAACAAGACTATTATTCCGTACCATTAGGGAAGAAGATTCGGGTAAAATATGCACTTCTTCGGGAATAAATTTTTTTTATCTACTTGAATTTGGTATTTTGGCCTTACTTATTCGATTCCTTGATACTCAATGAAATCTTCTTTTTGAAAAATAGAATAAATTCCTATAGTTGTATATTTAGTAATTCCTGAACTCTGTCTTATGTATTGAGGATCATTGAAATAAGCAAAAATACTATTTTCATGAAAAATACCATTGATAGGTATTTCAATGGAGACATCGGAAGGGGACATTAGTTCATTCTTTCGTTCTTGAATCGATTGGAATGGAAATGGAATAAGAAATATATTTCTTCGCCTTTTCGCCAAGAAATAAAACGTATCGTTCAAAATAGAAGGATACATTAAATCAGAATGATCTGTACATATGATTTGATTCAATATTGAAGAATCGCTAATCCACTTTTCTTTTGTACCAAAAGTATTGAATTTATGTTTTACTTGATCATTGCTTTCTAAAAGATTCAAAATATTTGTTTTTCCATTAGAAAGTGAAACCATGGTAACTTGATCAATCCTTGCGAAGTAAAAAATGGATTGTATTAGACCTGCACGACATTCCTGACAATATCCATAAATGACTTGTTTTTGGTAAGATATGTACATTACTATATATAAATTGTGATGTATGGTACACATCGGTACTCCAATGCATTTCCCCTTCTGAGTAAGAATAAATATGTTTTTGAACCCTCTCTTTCAAATTTAAAGTAGATGTTCCCGTGCGGATCTCCGCAATCACTTGTTCTGATTTTACATATTGATTATTTTGAACTAATAGAAAACTTTTTGGTGGAATAATGACGTTATGTATAATATCGTCACTTTCAATAGTTACATACAAGTCTATATTACATATAAAAGCAGGATATCCATGACGTGTCCGTGTAGGGTGAACTAAATCCTCATTAAATTTTATTTTTCCATTCGAGGGGGCTCGCACATATTCAGCGGTACCCCCTGTGAATACTCCACCAGTATGAAAAGTTCTTAATGTTAGTTGAGTTCCCGGTTCTCCAATAGATTGACCAGCAATAATCCCTACAGCTTCTCCCAATTCTACCAGGTCCCCATGAATAGGACTCTGCCCATAACACAATCAGCAGATCCAAGACGTATTCCTACAGGTAAAGGGGGTTCGAATAAATATTGGTTGTGTTTGAAAAGTTATGAATCTATTGATAAGTCCAATTCCAATATCTTGATTTCTAACGACAATGCACCGTGAACCTATATATATATATCGTCTGCTACTACATGACCAATTAATGTTTGTATCAAAATTATTTTTGGCATCATTCCATTTCGGGTGTTTACATAAATCCCACGGATGGTATCGTAATTTGTTCGTCGTACAACAATGTGTTGAACCACTTGAACAAGTCGACGTGTAAGATATCCAGCATCTGATGTTTGTACAGCAGTATCTACAACCCCTTTACGGGCTCCGTAGCAAGAAATTATATATTCTGTTAAAGACAGTCCTTCATGTAAATTGCTTTGAATGGTAAATAAATCATTTGTCCTTGTGGATCTGACATTAATCCTCTCATTCCCACTAATTGGTGCACTTGAGATGCATTTCCTCTAGCTCCTGAAAAAGACATGATATGGACTGGATTAAAGGGGTCAGTCATCCTAAAATTGGAATTCATTTGTTGTCGCAAATATTCGCTTATAGCATACCATATTTCAATGGATTGGCATAATTTTTCTACTGCATGGACATTTCCATAATGATTATGTTTTTCCAAAATGGAACTTTGTTGTTCAGCATCTTGGACTAGCCATCCTTTTGAAGGTATTGTTAAAAGATCATCAATTCCTAATGAAATAGATGTAGCAGTAGCTTGATGGAATCCTAGAGTCTTTACTTGATCTAGGATGTGTGATGTATATGTCATTCCGAAATGATCTATTAATCTGCTAATAAGTCGTTTAATGGAAGTTCCACCTATCACGTTATTGTGAAAGACTAGATCGGCCCACTCTGCCATAAGTACCTCCATATTCCAGTCAGTGTTATTCGGTTCGACAATGGATTTGAGTTAATGATTGGAAAACTTCATTTTCTTTATGTTTATTCACGTAGAAAATTGAAAAGATGCTAGTTGACCTGAATTTACACCAGTATCATAAATTGACTTAGCGTGGATACCAACACTAACCGTTTATATGATTAGATACCATATGAATCGGCTCGAGAAAAACCTTGTATAGCTTCTTCGATTTCTCGATAAAAAGAAATATGACCAATAGTGGTTCGAATGTATATACAACGAATATCTTTTTTTATACTTATTACTAAATAATCCCCATAAATCTCATAATAGGTACCAAAAGATTCATAGTGAACTTCGATAGGAACTTCTCTTGAAGGCATAATGCATTGATCTATTCGCCACCGGAGCCAAAAAGGACTATCGAAATTTATTATTTTCTGTCTATAAGCTCCAATTGCATCATAGGAATTGCAAAAAAAAAGGTTCTTTTTTTTCATATACTTCAAGTTATTATTGCTAATTTTTTTCATTGTGAGAATTTCGGGAATTAAACGAATTATACCTGTTTGCACAAATACCTCGATGATTTCCTCTAGTTAATACGTAAAGTCCAATAAGCATATCTTGAGTTGGTACACAAATGGGATCCCCAATAGCCGGAGACAAGAGATTTGTATGAGAAAACATAAGTAAACGAGCTTCTGCTTGAGCCTCCAAAGATAAAGGCACATGAACATCCATTTGATCCCCATCAAAGTCTGCATTGAATCCCTTAGACACCAATGGATGTAAAAAAAATAGCATGTCCTTCGACTAAAATGGGTTGAAATGCCTGTATGCCCAATCTATGCAAAGTAGGCGCTCTATTCAGCAATACTAGATGCCCCCGCATAACTTCTTGAAGTATTTCCCATACAATGGGTTCTTTTTCCCGGATTTTCCTCTTGAGTAGTCTACCTCCCTTCGAACGAGGAATCCTCTAAAATGAAATTCTTAATAAAAAAGCAATATCTTCGACTTCATAAGAGATTTCTTTGTCTCTGTATCATACCGTTTGATCTTTTAGGTCAAGACGTCACCTCGACGGGTATGCCACGATGTCTTAAAGCCTATATGCGATAGATAAACTTCTGCAATCATGATATATTTTATTCTTTAAACATAATTTTAGTTCTTTTAAAATATAAAAAAAAAAAGAGATGGAATAATGAATTCCACAAAAAAGTATTTTTTTTCCATAAGGTACATACAGTATAAAGAGTTTTTTGTTACTGAATTGACCATAGACCAACTCCCTTATTGGGAGTATTCAATACACCCATGAATTGAATTCCGAGCTTCATTTTACTCATCCCAAGAGACATGCCAGATATAGGACATTCCAATTTAATTGAATGGAATGACAGTTTTTCATTTGAAATCTGTACAATAAGAATTTTTATCAAATCACACATCGCAGTATACTAGACCCTCTAATTCTTTAAGAGGTTTATCTAAAAGGCTCGTGATATAACTAGGAAGACGTTTCAAATACCACATAAGGGTTACTGGACATGCTAATTTGATATACCCCATTTGATATCTACGTATCCGAGAATCAACAAATTCTACTCCGCATTGTTCACAAAATTTAGGTTGCTCTTTTTTATCCCCGATTACTCGATAATTTCCACAAGCACAAATCCCACTTTTTATAGGCCCAAAAATTCTTTCACAAAATAATCCATCTTTTTCAGGCTTATTGGTTTTATAATGAAGAGTATATGGTTTTGTTACCTCCCCAACTGTTTCTCCATTAGGTAGGATTTTTTTTGCCCAAGCACTTATTTGTTCAGAGGAAACTGATCCAATTCGAAGGTGTTGATGTTTATACTGATCAATCATAAAATAAAATTTCGGATTCAGTCCTATTAAACTTCCTTCCTTTGAATCTGAAAGTCTTTCTTAGAGACAAGGAAATGATTCAGTTCCAGAGCCAAAGATCGTAGTTCGTGAACGAGCAATCGAAAAGATTATGGAGCATCCACAGGTTTCGGTATTGTTCCTCCAGTAATTGTAGTTCCAAGTACTTCTTGAAGAGCTTTAATATGATCATATTTATAAGTAAGCATCTCTTGTAAAATATGAGCAACATTGAATCCCTCGAGGGCCCGAACTTCCATTTCGCCTACCCGTTGTCCTCCTTGTTTGGCCCTTCCTTTAAGTGTTTGTTGTGTAACAAGTGCATAAGGTCCACTGGAACGTCCATGTATTTTATCATTAACTTGATGAATTAATTTCAAGATATAAGGCTTTCCTACATTCATTCGAGAAGGGACCCCTAATGGATTGAAGACCATATCAACGGGTCTTCCATCTTGCAAATAAGGCATATCCTATCTAGACAAAATCTTTGAAATGATACCTTTATTTCCATGTCTCCCGGCCACTTTATCACCTACTTTGATTTCACATTTCTGTGAAATATATATATGAATTATTTCTAGATTATAGCTAGAATCTGCTTTTTTGTGGAGCCATCTCACATCAATAACTCGGCCCCTACCACCTATAGGTAGTTTTAGACAAGTTTCCTTTGAGGTGGATACCTGAATCCCAAGTATAGCTCGTAATAATCTATCTTCCGGGGCATATGAGGATTCTTTTTCCATTTGAGGTGTTAATTTACCCACTAAAATATCGCCCGTTTCTACCCAAGATCCCAGAATTACAATTCCATTTTTGTCTAAATTTCGGAGTAAATGCGCTTCTAGATGTGGAATTTTATTAGTGATTCTTTTAGGACCATGGCTTGTCACATGAGTCTGAATTTCATATTTCCGTATGTGAAAAGAAGTATAAATATCTTCATAGACCAGACGCTCACTAATGAGTACAACATCTTCAGAATTGTAACCTTCCCATGGCATATAAGCTACTAATACGTTTTTTCCCAAAACGAGTTCACCACCAACTGTAGCTGCACCATCTTCTAAAATTTGTCCCTTTTTTACGCATTTACCCTTCTGAACCTGGGATATTTGATGCATGCAAGTATTTTTGTTGGAACGTTGATATATAATTAATGGAATACTTAGACCATTCCCACTTCCAAATAAAATAATCTTCTCAGTATCATTATAAACGATCTTTCCCTCGTGTTCGGCTATAGCGGGAACTCTCGAATCTAAGGCCACTTGGCGTTCCAATCCAGTTCCAACAATGCACTTTTCGGACTGAGAAAGAGGAACTGCTTGACGTTGCATATTAGCATCATCATGCTCGATAAAAGGAATGAGGGAAGCTCCAATAGAAAAATATTGGAAGGGAAAAATACTTCGAAGATGAACCTGTTCCCATGCAATAGTAAGAAATTCTTGACGGTATCGAGCTGGAACAATCTGTTCCTCCTGAATCTCGATTCAGTGCTAAAAAATTTCCCGTCGCTACCATATAGTATTCATCTCTACTTAGTGATAAAGAAAGCGTTCGTATTCTTTTTGATCTCTCAGAAATTTCATAAAATGGACTTTCTATAGACCCCCAACGACCAATCCTTGCGTGAATGGACTTTCTTCAGAGGTGTCAATTGGACAAATGCATCCATAGTGACTAGGATGGATATCCCGTATCCAAAAACTAGCAGTTTTCCCCGTCAATCCTCCAGGACCCAAAGAACTCAATTTCCTTCCATGAACTATTTGGGTCAATGGATTTGTTTGATCTAAAACATGAGATAATGGATGTAATCCAAAAAAAGATTCATAAGTGGTTGTTAATGGCGTTGAAGTCACTAAATTCTGAGGAGTCGATATCAATTTATATCTAATTGCTCCACATATAGTTCCTCTAATTAGATTTTCTAAACGAACGAGAGCCAATCCAAATTGATCTTGTAAGAGATCTGCTACAAAACAAATACGTTTATTTTTCAAATTATTCATATCGTCAAGTGTACCCATTCCAAATTTCATTTCAATCAAATGATCTGCAGCTGTCAATATATCTCACGGTAACAAAAATGTATTGTTCTCGGGTATATCAATATTCAGGCTTCGGTTCATATTTCTCCGCCCAATTCCTCCTAATTCACATCTTTGTTGGAAAAAAAAATTTGTAATTCCGTACATAAAGATTCAGGAAATATGGGATCTCCGCCTACACAAGCAAATTGTCGATAAAACTCCAAAATCGCATTTTCTTTTGACCTTATTTTTTTCTCCTCCTTTTCATTGAGGAAAGACAAGAAAATTTCGGGGTAACAAACGTTCTCAAGAATTTCACTTAAATTCGAACCCATAACTGATGATAGAACTAGAATATATATTTTTTGTTTCCTATTTACACGAGCCCATATCCTTGCTTTTCTATCAATTTCTAAATCTAATCTTCCTCCCCAATCTGATATTATGGTCCAATTTTGATCGATAATAGATACCGGGGCTTTGCAATATTTGATTGTTTACAATTCTGTATATTCCATTTACTATAAAAGTTCCCAGGGAATCCATTAGAGGAATGTTTCCAATAAAACTAATTTGTTCTTGGATATCCTGACTGTTTTTCCAAATTACTCCCGCGGATATATATAATTCAGAGGAATATGTAAGTGATTCATATACAGCATCTTTTTCTTTTATTGAGGGTTCTACCAATTGATATGTTTCCGCAAATAACTGAAATTCAATTTCTTGATCTGTATCTTCAATTTTTGGAAACTTCAAAAGTTCTTCTGTTAAGCCACGATCATTGAATCTACAAAACCCTTCAAATTGTATTTGATTTAATCCCGGTAGTGTAGACATTCTTTCATTCCCAACCCCAAGCATTTTTTATTGCCCCTTTTTTATTTTATAGAAAATATCCCATTATTTGTTGTCATTCTTCATCGAATCACATGAATATATTTAGCAATAATGGAATTTATGTTCTTTTTACTTTACTGAATCACATGAAATTTTACCTCACTACGTCTATGAAATACGCATTATGAAAAGAGGAATTTTTCTACTCAAATTAGAATTTGTAACAAAACAAACAAATAGACTTTTAGTAGAGTATGATATTACATATTCCAATTCGATTGATACCCCAAAAATCAATTCAGGATTTGATTGGCTCCATGAGAGAAAGATTTTAAAAAGAAAATAATCAGAAAAAATATACAATTTTTTTGAGCCCTTTACCATTTCAAGTGTTCAAAAAAGAATGAAAATTAACAAAGAAGAGAGATATTTTGACCCTTTTTTTTTAGAATGAGAGGATTGCAGTGCATAAAAAGACTTGGATTTATGAAACATGCATAAATCTAACTTCAGCTATAGCTATCTATATATGTCTATTACGTTATTGCTGTCCTATTTGTTCGGGACATAATATGTTGTGTTCATTTTTTTTCTATTCATTCATCAATCTATTTCATGAAAAATTGGCAAAAAAATGAAAGTACGAGAATTTATTGAAAATTCCCTGTAATCTATAATTACATAGAAAATACCCAATTATATAATGTGTAACAATGAAAAGTGATATTATGGAGTTGACATATATTAATAGTTCCTGTTATAATGGAAATAGATAAGGATTATAAAATATTATATATATATATATATATATATATATAATATATATAATATAATATTGATTTGTTATGTATCAATTTCAATTTTTTTTCTCATTAAGAAATTCAGATTCCTGAATTCTTCCCGAATTTGTAGTTAACAGTTGCTATTTGTCACAAAATTTTTACTTTTTTTTTACTGAAAAGATATACGTTGGTTTTTTTGAGAGGAGGATATTCTGATCTATTTTTTTGTATCATTTTGGCGGCATGGCCGAGTGGTAAGGCGGGGGACTGCAAATCCTTTTTCCCCAGTTCAAATATGGGTGTCGCCTGATCGACAAGAGAATCAAAAAGGGTTTCTTCCATTTTGTTGATACAAAAACTTAGTATTTTTTCCATGTGGAAGCAAGTGTAGGGACAGAGTTCTTGAGACTTGTTTGATTCAAAATTCGACGCATCGCTAGATTTGTTCTCTAAAATGCTTTAAATCTTTGCATCTCGGATTCAAGGAAAAATTAATTAGAGTAGGGAAATGAAAAGGAATAGATCAATCTTGAAATGAAAGTCTTTTCACTCTACTACTGCTGTAGTGTCCGTCTACTGATTGGGTCTTTAATTAGATTGGATAAGGATAGGTAGGACAGGGAATATAATTCCATTTTTAGTTGGCGAAGGGATTGAAGAAAAACCGTCTATACAAACGTATGTAAAATATATGAACGCTTCTATATTTTTTCCATATTTGTTAGATTAATGAAATTGAATATCTAATTCGATTTCTTTTTTTTATTTATTGATTTTTATTTATTTATTGATTTTTATTTATTTATTGATTTTAATGATATTCATATTTTTTTTACTATGAATTTCATTTTCATTTCATCCAATTCAAAAAAAATCCATTCCATTTGATTTCATTTCCATTCTAAGAAAAAGAAAACTCTTTCTTTTGGGTAATCGATAGTAAAAGAATTTAATACGCTGTTTTCCAATTGTTTTAGAGAACGAATCGGGATACAATCAGGATTATTAGATCAAATTGAACTAAGAGATGCAAAAAAGAGTATGCAAAGGAATCTATCTTGATTCTTTATTTTTTACTTAAATAAAATGAAATTGGGGGGGGGGGGGGGGGGAATAAAAATAGATCTTTGTATTCCAACCTATTAGTATGATTCATTACCTTACTACTTCTAAGGATATTTTTTATTTATGCTGAAAATTTCTCAATTCTACTCCGAATCTGATAAGAACTTGCTAGATGATCTAATTGGATGTTTCATCAATGGTGTTATGACGGAATGGAATACTTTTTTGACTCTGTACTAGCGATTCCACTATT